TCACGACTGGTATTTTTATTATACGTTTTTAATTTAAAATTAAGCACTACTTATTTATTAAAGTATAACGTTTGATTTTACTGAAATATAATCATAATGAGAATCGTAAAAATCACGCATCATCATCTAGTTTCTATAGCTTTCTATTATTTGCTAGGAAATGTGTTGCTTTTAATATCTAATCCTCTATAAATTACTATAAACCAAAATGTATACACTAGGATGGATCGTATTTTTCGACATGACTCGCTCATCAAATATGATTAGGTACTTAAGGTACATGTAAAAGTTACTCATACATATTTTAAATTCGAGCGTAAAATTGGTAACGAAATATTATCATCCGCTAAATATCAACTACAATAGTTAAATTATCGGTCCAAGTCTATTACACTATTTTTTAATATTATTTACCTAACGAATTTTAGGATGTGGTTTACGGAAATAATAGGTACACTATAATCACTTAATTTTTGATATTATAATAATTTTTAGGATATTTTTTTTTTTATTATTGTTTCATTATACTACGCTCCATTAAACATAATAGGTATATTTAGAAAACAACAGATACCTACATTTAAACGCATTATCGGACGTATTTAAATATGCACATGATGTCGGCGGTACTATTAAATTGGAAAACAATAATACCGAAATTACCGTACATGTTCATACGTATACCAGTGAACTATATTAACATTGTATCTTTCAACTTTGTCTATACTACTCGCGCCACTAGATCATACATGGATACGCCTAGCATACAAGTAAAAAAAAAAAAATTAACATTTAGGAAGGGCACAAAAATAACATAATATTAGGTACCTAATCAAATGTCTTAAGATTAAAAGTATGTATATTTGATACATAATGAGTAGATAATTTCGACTTACATTTAGGATACACAAATCAATAATTATTGATAAATTTACTTAAGTAAACCGAAGATATTCAATAAAACTTTAGAAAACCTATGTAAATCACTGAAATAATATACGTATTATAATACCTATTAAATTTGATTCAATAGCTGAAACATTTTTTTATACTAAAGATTGAAAAAACGGTTAAAATAAAATATGTACCTAACTAGCGTATGACATTCTTATTAAATTTGTATTTAACAGGAAAAAATTATGTCTAATCTAACCGGCATAACATTTTATTATACGTTTCTATCATTTAATCACAGAATTATTGTATTTTTAGTTTTTACCCATACAATTTGATGATAACGTATATTCGTAGTAGAACGGTAAATTCTTTTTTACAGTAAACTCATGAAAAATGAAATTAAATAAAAGTATTTTATATGAGATCATAAGATCGTTTAATTTACGCTTGGTTGCGGCCCATCATACGCTGTAACACATTAAACTACAAAAAAAAAAAATATATATATATATATAATAACCCGAGGGATATACTGATGAGTTAACTTGCCAGTTGCCAAGCAAATAGGTAGGTATATAATAATACATCATGCGCTCTATTTTAAATACAGATATACCGAATTTATCTATCGTAACAAAAGTTCGGACAATGAAAGTAGGCGCAAGAAAGTTTACCTAAAAATTATATTATCTTATCTGCTTATATCAAGTGTAAAAAAAATCATTGTCTGTAATGTAAACTATTATTAGTAGTGATACAAATTTAAACAAGAAAAATACATTCCAATATTGTTTTATAATAAAACCAATAACACCGATAAAGATATAGTTTATAAGATGATAAATTGTTTTAAATACATTGGTGTTTATTTACTCTGTTATTAAGGTCATATTGTAAATTGAATTATAGGTGAAAGCGATTAGTATAAATATGAGAACAAAATATGAATGTACTCGTACACATAGCCACGTATTACGAGTATACTACTAAGTACGTACCTATGGTTTATAAAATATTTTTATCTTAAAAAAAATTAATTTTACAACTATTACTATTATACTGTAGGGTCTTAAAGATTTCATATTATAGTCTAAAATGCTTTAAAATATCTACGTATTTGTTTAAAAAAAATTACTTGTATTAAAATTTGTTATAGGTATATAGGTAAGTCATTTAATTATCAAAAGATATAATTTACTGTTTGTTATAAAAATGTTAATACTGATATATCTTTAGTCAAGAAAGAAGGACATAAGGACTTAATTATTGGTTTAAATTGCATAAATGTATATATTTTCAAAATTAACGTATATACTATATTATAATACATTAATTTATTTTCAGTATAAGTGGAGATATATATATTTTTTTTAAATATAATTTGCTTTTATTAAAAACAATACAAAAAAAATACTCATGCCTTTCTTCCCTGGGACCAAAGATATTTTAGTAAGCAATTACAATATTGCCAAGGTCCTAGCAAATCTTCAAATCAATGTAAATGTTAATTGTATAATTGACCAAGTGAGTGAAATTCTCGAGGTTCTTCAGGTAGATAGTTTTTTATTAAAAGTACCTAAGTTTTCTAGTTTAGTCCACAGAAAGATAACATAACACATATATGTAAGTGATAAAAAAATACAATTTTTACTTTGTAGTACTTCAAAATATAATAAAAACCAGTTATGTCTCATAGTTGTACGCGTCGATTTCTTATTTTTAAAACTTTGTTCAGGTTGTTTATGTCCCGTTATGCGGTCGGAATATTATGTATTTGTCTTCCAAGAAAAAAAGAAAAATTTACATAAAGATTCACATGTAAATCGTACATAAAGAAAAATATTAATATTGTTTGACCCGTTCTCCTCTTTTGTAGCTTTTAAATATATATTTTTAATTTTCGATTGACACTATATGCAGTGTATATAAAGCTGTATACATGTAGATAATTATTGTAATAAAATAAAGCCACGTAGGAACAGGTAATAGTGATTACAATAAATTATTGTATAAAATGTCATGTATCTACTATATATCCTCTATACCACAGGTTCTAATAATTGTTTTCACATAGTACATCATTTACAAGACAGTGAAAATTTGCTTTCCTTACCGAATCTAAATATATAATAATATGCACTTTCATTATGCGTCGTTAGTTATAACTCACAATGCCTATGTAATTACAATACAAACGTTGTAAAAACAAAACGATACACACTTCTTCAAATTGCAAATCCTCTAAACCCGAGAATAATATTATCTAGATAAGAAACGGTGACACAATGCCGTATTTCCGGAGTTTGATACTTGTCACGTCTTACTCAATTTGATGCAATATTATGTTGATAGCGGATAACATTGTACATTATTATAATTGTAAATTGGAATAAAAATTATCGTTCAATTACCTAACGGTAAAAATATTTAAATCAGAATTTAATCATTTAGTTCACTCGAAGATTAAAATCTTTATCCATTATTGTTTTAAATTTTTAATGTTTTTAATGGAAATCTTCTAATTTTATATTTTGTAAAACGTTTAGCTCATTTTAGAAGATTTTGTAACTGTCCGTATATTATTTCATTCGTTAAATGACAAAATTTGGGATCATGTAGATAAAATTAAATTTCAATTTCATATAGATACGGTAGCTACAACAATTACCAATAAAATTAAAACATACAATTTAGGTAGCATTATTAATATTCGTAATATATTATTGATTTTTCGGAACCTATTTCTACAATTAATAAGTATGATAAAATGATAGACAAGACCTATAGGCAAGAGACCCATAGAACTGTGATACGGTTAGCAAATTATTCGATAATTTATTTTTTTTAAACCAGCCCAATTAGAGAAAGATTTTACACTAAAATATACATTGTTATTTACTCTGCTATTTTTATGTAAATTAACCTATATGTTATAGTTCTGTACCTTTACGCGGATTTCGCGATTATAATTAATGAATATTTTTTCCTAGTTTTATTATAAGCAATTATAGCTTACATGATATAGTTTTCGTGAATTTTCGAATTAATATACATTTATCTAACAATACACTAATAGATAGATAGTATCAAAAATAAAGGGAATGTTTTTAGGCAGATTCTATTATGGCTTACTATCTAGTATCCATCCTGCTTGATAAAGTATGTCTAACAAAGAAATTCCAAAACAACGACGTAAATAATAATATCTTGGTAATATCTATAAATTTAATAAGGTAGAAAATCTTTAATACGAAAAACCGAAAATGTATCTATAGGCACGAACAATTCAGTAAATATACATGTTGTTTTATCGTTTTCGATCTAAGATCACCCGAATGTACCTAATATAACATAATATATGTATGACAGGTATCTGTTTACATAAATACCTTATAGTTAAATTAAACACATTGTTCAAACTATCGATAAAATAGTTGCTACGAAATTCCAATTTGAATTTTCCCTGATTTTCAGAGCTCTTTCCAAAATGATTTACGAGAGTAAATAAATAATAATAAATATATTCGAATTTTTTTAAGTTATTAAACATTTAATAACAATAGTCAATGACAAAACAAATATTTTTCCTTACGCAATATTATTATTATCTACAATATATTTCGAGTTTTAAATAATTAATAATGCCGAAAATAGACATATTGAACTTTTAAATGAAGATTTCAGAATTTCATATAAATATTTAATTTCCTAACTAATTAACTATACAATATTAAGAACTGTGAAATGTACTGTGCTGTGTACGGAATCTATATTATATTGTTACAATACGCTTGATGAATGTACAAACACAAGTACACAGTACACAGCGCTTTACCCAATTTTATTACAATTCTATGTCAAATCAATAAGGGTCGAACCCGTATAAAAATATTAAATGAAAACAAAACTACAAAATCACCACGGTATCAATTTAAAATGGACTAAAAACGGCGCACTACCCTCAAAATACAGTTAAACCTTATTTCGTGAAACAAATGTTCCATTAATATTTTGAAAAATAATAAAACTTCCGATACCTAATATATTTAATATTAAAAAAATATTTCATATTAGTCTATATATTATGAAAATATAAAATATCAGGTAAATTAGGTAAAATTCATCATGATTAACATTGATATCCCATTGATATTTTACTTGTAATTAGTGATTAATGTGGATTTACTCGGTGATTTGGGTAAATGTATTTTTAATGTAATAGATACACACTACACGGTAACAATTTTATATGAAAACTTGCTTTTTGTTTTATGCTTATTTCCATAAATTGAATAGGTAGATACTTAATGAATTAGTTGATAAATGCACATAACTATCAATTAAGTATCAGTTTATAATTAAACATTTTTAATCAAAATATTAACATATATTTTGGATATATTTTATACAAGGCACATCACTACGTGTACCGATTAATTTGTATTTGAAACAAATAGGTATAAATTAATAAAAACACCTATTTCATACGAACATTCTTTTTTTAGACATTTTAATGGGATATCTGGAAACATAAAATATTTAAAAAAAAAAAAAACCACAACGAAAGTTCCACGGTGGTCGAGTGACGTTCATTCAATTCTCTGGGTACCGCGGCAGAGCAACACGACATCATAATATTATTAACTGAAATTCCAGTCGTCTTCAATTGTGATAAATTTACTTTGAAACGAGTATTTAATGTGTATTTGGGTACATTAAAATATTATACAGGGAACAGCCAGTTTTGTCGATTGAGCAACGACCGAAAGCGAATCACGAACAAAGAAAACACGAAAGGACTTTCCGGGATGGCGCAGGTGGTCGGACATTGCGTGTATAACAGACGGCGGCGGCGGCGTACAAAACCCGTTCTGCGATTGTTTTTTTCTTTTTTTGTGTGTGTTTCGTCAGTCGGTTCGATTTTTTTAATTATTTTGTCCAAGACATGAGCGCACTCGTTTAAGTAGATATATCACAACGTGACGTCAGAAATTAGGCAGATATTAGTCGGTACCCCTACGCGGACGTATATCGGTCATGATAATTAATAATATTTTATTTCCTCATAATACAATTAATTTATAATAGACTTGCTAGTAGGTAGGTAATGGATATTAGCCGTTAGGTACCTACCAAACTCGATATTGACGAAAAAAAAAAAAAATCAAAAAAATACTACGACATGGACTTACCGTGAAGATCATGAAGCTAGGCACTTTAAGTAGGTATATTCCAAACGGCGGTTACAAAATAAAACAAGACGCCGGGGACGTAATGGCGAACGAATAACAAAATAATATTAGTATTACAACAAAACTAATGTACCTGTATTTTAATATAACGAGAAAACAATACTCATAAAAAAATCGAATAAAGAAACCACCAACTGGCTGACCAACACGGTGACAAACATACGCGCGTAACGTCGCGGCGTTCACTGGCGTAGACGCGTAGTATTATGTTACATTGAATTTGAAGAAAATAATCAGGAATAATATTAATATCCCTCTCCCCTCTGACGGGACTAATGTTCAGACGGACGGACTGCCGGTCGACAGAATTTTACACGGTGAAAACGGTACGGGGCCCGGTGACGCGACCGCACAGTGCTGCAGGTTTGTCGGCGTAAAAACGCGCGCGCCGACCGTCGCTATTGAAGCGGTCACACTCGTTGGATCAACGCCTCCGCCACCCGCGTTCGGCATATACAATGGAGGTCGATTATTTACACACTAGTGTATTACGGTAGGTAGTTTATGGGACGTTTAAGAAATGTCACATCTTATCGGCGTACCTACGGAAAAAAAAAAAAAAAGAACGTATATTATTATTTTGACGTCACGGATTTTTTTATCGGCTACCGCCGTTGTTTGTCCAGCGGCCTCGAATTGAAATTAATGATACCGTACTTATAGGTTGTATCAGATGAGCAGGTATAAATTATTTATGGTAGGTGTTCTGAGTATCAATTATTTGTGATATGAGTGAATTCAGAGTTGAATAAATAATTGAATTTCTGCGGTGAATTCAAAATGGGGGCGGGGTTGATCCCATCTCTCCTTACTTACTCCCCTGGGTAGTATTACGAGGAAGCTGATAATATACTAAATAATTATGATTTTGATCTGAAATAATTTGAAGAGTCTGGTTATTATTCAGTTAATCATGTTAAATACATTAATATGTTTGTAATTGAATATTATACATTATGTATCATATTTTATACATTTATAGTTGAGTCTCAAAAAGTTAAAGGTATTAAAACAAATAATAATATCTTTAAGTATTTACCAAACATCATAATATTCAATTCACAGATATATTAAAAATCATCTTCTTTTTCTCCTGCATATAATGTAAAAGTATCGCGTCTTGGTGGCTCAATATTAGACGCTGCCAATCACGCAGGAGTAGAACCTTTCCTATACACAACCGCAGGATATAATATCTACCCGGGACAACGAAGATATTCCTCAATTACGGGAAATATACGAAATATAATAAGGTATTATAATTTGTATTATTATACTTTCTCTCTATAATACGAGGGTCCTTGAAAATGACGAGAGAATTTTGTGATGCGTATGCATCCGCGGCAGTCTTTCTTGTGCCTTCTGCTCGCGTGTGAGCCGTGTGAACAAAAAGCGCGTCGTATTGTCGTGTAGGTACTTACGATTCACTTCCGTGTTTGCGTCATACGATGTTAGAATGAAAAATATATAAAAAAAAAAAAAATTGAACTTAATGAAACAATAAAATCGTTATTGTTAACGTGCGTGTATATTTTAACCCCGGTGATACAATAATATTATCTGTAGCAATTCCACAATTAAAACTAGATCGTGAAACTTGAATAAGGGCCCGAACGTAAGAGAGATCGAAAAACCGTAAACATCAATTTAAGTGGGTTACGCCGTCAACGATTCGCAAATGTGTCAGCGATTTACACGAATTTCGCTTTTACGGTTACTTACCTATACTAAATCCGAATATTATAAGTTTATCCGAAACCGGAAACCGAACAAAATAATGCAGAAAAGGGATACAATATTTATTTATAATATACGCAAAACGAACAAGTACGTCCGGTATAGGTAGTGATGGATAATTTCTCAGTGGATTCAATAATGACTAATGTAATGAAAATATTTAGAACAAATTAATTTGTATTAGATGTATGTATGGTAATATTATCTACTATCTGTATGTATTTGTACACTAAGTACTATTATTAGATATTATGAAAAAAGAAAAAAATGTTTAGGACTATGACAAAAAAGTTTCAAGTGTCGACTAAGTAAATTATCTTTTAATTCACAACTTGTATTAAATGTACATATTAAACTATAAATAAATGAGTAGTCTAAGAACATAAAAAAGTAAAATAAAAATAAATAAATAAATAATATCAATGGTTCTCTTATAGTGTTCGGAGTATAGTTAAAATGGTATAACTTTTTTACTTTAGACATTGAACAACATTACTTGATCAAATTGGTGAATAATAAAATAATCATTGATGCATATAAAATAAGATACAAGCATTCATTTTTATATTTTTGACCACTATAAAGTACCACTTGTAATGAACCTCCTGTCAAATATTTAAAGATTTCTGTTCAGTCTAACAATTTTTCACAAAGTATCTAACAATTAAAATGTCTATAAATAGCTAAAAAAAAAAAAATGTCTAAAAAAGCAAATATACATTTTCTGTCAAAAATTCAAGTTTCTAACTGAATCACATTAATCAACTTCACACATGAGTGCATCCACTGTTGTATAGATGAGAAGTTAGGAAGGTAGTAGAGTGGAAATTTAATGTACCTATATCTATAAACAATGATAAACCATTGCTAACGAAAAAACAATTCTGAGCAAAGTTCAGTTAATAGTGTTGCTTTGTCAACAATATATATTCCATATTATGGTAAAATAATTACCAGGTATTATATTTATTCTTTAATAATATTATACCTATATTTTCCCGTTTTTCCCACGTATTTTTACGGGTTTCTTCCCGATTTTTCTCATTTTATAATGTCAGTCCTATTGCCGTAAATGTATAAGTTTTAGTTTTTCGGGTTTTCTCAACTATTGAAAAGATTACCAGAAAAATCAAAAAACAAATTACGTAATCAAGAACTAGATTACAAATGCAACAAAATTGTTTTTTATCGCTTTTCTATTGGAGCAATATTTTATGTAGAAAACATAAGCCGAATACAAATTTAAAATAATAAAATCGTCAAATCGTTGGGTCGTAAATTGACAAAAATCGTATTTTCGTCTTTTTTTGGTTGGTCCCAATTATTACGAAAAATATTTAAGTATCAAAAAATGATTTTCTTTGTCAGTGACTATAAAGAACAATGATTGAAGCAATATTTCTGGTAGAAAATATAAGTTGCAAAAATTAAAAACAATGAAAACGGTAATGCCACGGCGCGCCGTAAATATTTGTCGTTTTACTTATAATTTTCTTTCCGGTTTTCCTAATTATTTAGAAAACTTCTTAGAAAAATCAAAAAATAACCTCTCTAATGCACCAATAAGACGAAATTTCCTTTCAGAATAGGTATTTTACTAATTTCATCGGAGCAAGATTTCGTTTCAAAAAGTTGTTTATAGATAGAAAAAAAAACACACACACACATCATAGTAAAACCAATAAATCTCTCGCTACACTTCGAATCGAATAAACTATTGTGCGCCGAAGTGTTTAAAATATACTGTGGCATCATACATCAAGGGGCCCTCCTCTTTTTTTTTTTTTTTCAATTTAACAATTGCGAATCAAAGCACCCACATCATACAATGTATAATTCATTTTTTTTAACTCCTTGGTGAACCCTCCAGCTACATAGTAACTATGACATATGTCATAAATAAATTAAGTGACCTGCACCACTAAAATTATCAATGATTATAATGAAAGCAAATCATAATTTCTTACATTACTAAACGATACGCAACGCTTCAAAAGGAAAATATGCTGTTATCCCATTATGTACTCTGCTTTCCCATTCTACACTGGTTTTGATTTTCGAATAAGTATGTTAATATAAATAGTGATTCTTTTATCGTTAAATACTCATTCGTTCACAAAGCATAAACTTTTTTCAAAAAAAAAAAAAAAAATGTCTTGACAATTCAAAAGACATACTGTACTAAAATGTTACATCATAATAATTTAGAGTACTGGAGCACTATAAAATTACCCCTTACCGTGTCATCACACAATAAATTGATACTACACAACTTTCCCAAAACCAGAACTAAAAAGTGAAATATCTTGATATCGGGTTAACAGAAATCCAAATTTATATACGGAACTTATAATATGGGTTATCATTTGAAAATTAAAAGTTGGGAATTGTTTCATCTAAAAAAAAGTTCACAAAAAATAATAACGATGTAACATTTTAGTTTTGCTTGTTTCTTAATTTTCAAAAAATTTTTGTCAACTACCTCTCATAGAATTTGATCGAAGTTATTCCGGTTTCCGCCAAAATTTACCTTACCGTTTTCAGCCAATTTTTATTCCGCCAAATTCAAAAAACGTCACTTCTTTTTAGACAGATATAATTTATAGAATTGTATAGCTTGGGAATCTCTTACGTAAATATTAAATATTATTATTTTTCTATTAAGGAAAGTGAGTCGTATTTTCGTATATTTAGATTAATAAGCGAAATTGTAATAAAATTATTTATCTATATTTGATTTGCTCTAACATTAAATAAGAAAACTCATAAAATATTATTCATTATGTCATTGTGATTCAGTTCGTGTAAATTTCCATTTTATAATTACTCACTATTTATTTATGTTTTTTTTTTCTTAAATATCATACTGATTACAATAGGTATGTTTAGCACCATTTATTTTGAGATGTTTTATTTTAGCTTATATAATGAGGTTTTATATACTCACGTCTCTATCTAAGAAGAAAATATACAGGTATATAGGTCATTTTCTAGTTTGATATCTTTTGATTTATCAGAACTAATAGCATTGAATATTGAAAACCCATCAGTGTATGATACGCGCTAACTAAGACAAGATACAGCCATGTCTGCAAAAATAACCAATAGTAAACGTGACAATCCACAAATTATAATTAATAATTTTCAATTTCACAATGTATATGAAGGAGTTAATAAAGTTTGTTGGAGGTATATTTATAAATCGTGAAAGGCGAAAATATTCATAAAAAAATATTTTCTATTAAGGCCGTTTTGCCAGGATCCTCCGTTTTCTGTCTGATGCCCATCATCCTCTCATATTAATTATGCTAGAAAGTCGGCCAGAGACATACTAGCGAGTATCAGCACTTATCGGTTGAGACCGTCTGATAGGCCCGGATGATGCACATGGACCTTTTGGAACGGTCTCTCTGTTCTTTATCATCTTGGTCCCCACTGCTGTCCAAGTCGCAGCCACTATTAAAAGCTTCCCGATAACCACCGCTTTCCTAAGACCCCTTGGTGACGTGTTGTGTGAAGGTGAGCTATTATTTCAGTTCCACTCTGTGGTACCTTACTGATTTCTTGACGAGAATAATGTGTCTATCGATTTACGGCACTAGGTTAGTGTACATATATGTGCTTCCTCGTGGAAATGCATATTTAGTTGCTTACCCAACGGCGCAGCAGTAAATATCGTTCTACAGTCTTGCTTCCTTGAAAGACCGGGTAAGGTATCATAACATCTCAAATGAGATAGTTAGATTACCTATATATTCTCACCTTAAATGAGTACGTTGAGTTGCTTAATCGGCCCGACTCTCTTCACATCAAGTACAAACAAATTTACGACATTATCGCCTCAAAGTTAATGAAGATGCGTTACTCGTAATATAAATTATATAATAAGTATTTTTACTCTAAAATCAAAATTAAGCTAGTTTTATTTGTTATGTGTAAGCGTTGTTTGTATATGCTATCCGGTAGTTGGACTGAGACAATAGATGCAGATATAACTTCCTCTTAATAATAGATTCTAAGCGGAGTGAAGCATGTATTGGTTTCACAATGAAGTTATTATTATTATTATTTTTTTTTGTGGACAATTTTTCTACCAGCAATTTTACTCAAATTTTCAAGTATGCTACTTTACGTCGTTATTTGATTTTCCCAATAAATGGGAAAAACCGAGAAAACGTACTAAATATACAATCATATTTTCAAACCTTTGTATTTAGTTTTGTTTTGATTCTGTTAAAAATATTTATAGAGAATTTAAGTTTGAACAGAAAATTTATATTTGCCTTTCTAAACGTGGTCAAATTTTTAAAACATTGTAGCCATTTTTCAGCTATTTATTTTAATTACGTAATTTTTATTCGGTAGGTATTCTGTAATAAGATTCTTAAACCAAACAGAAATGCAAGACAATTTAACAGGAAGTACATTATAAGTCGTACTTTTTGGTAAAAAAACCGTGTGTAATGTATAATTTTTTTTATAAAGATTTTAATATCAAATTTTGACGAAAATCATAAATATTACAGCCTTTCAAACCATGTGCAACTGAACTCCATATTATAGAATCGGTTTTCGTTTGCAATGTTTAATAAATGCATACAGATATAATTAAATTCTTCTCCGTATCCTACCTTCCAAACTTCTTCCAACTTCTCTTTTTAAATATGAAATATATATATTTTGTAATAATTTTAATTTTCATAAATATAAATAATATGAGTTTTAAAATTATTTAAATAAAAATAATTTTGATTTAAAATGACTTATTAATTACAGTTTAATGCCACGGGTTGGTATACACGCATACATTATACATAAATTATAATAAGTGAACATGTAAGATAATAATAATAGGTAAGTGTAGGGAATTATAACATCATAATATTTAATTCCCAGCTACTGGTATTGACTCTAGCTACGTATTGCGATCGTGCAAAAATTATTGTTATTATAACCATCTGTACACACAACAATGCATTGTTGAGACCACCCAACCACGATGAGAAATAACAGATGCCAATAACCGCAGCCAATCACAGCGGTTCGACCGTTCTAGCGGCATTTATGTGTGTGCGAGTTTTCCCAAATTATTACTAATATAGAGTAATATAGAGATGACGTTCGAAAAAATGTGAAATGGAAAACGTGTATATTTACCAGTTTGCCGCCTATTGAGTGGAAAAAAAATTATGTAACACAAATTGTACGATAATATTACTCGATTCAAAAATTTAAGTAAGAATATCTATTTATATCTAAGTAATCTAAAATGTTTTTAATTTTAAAGCTAGCTTGGAGCATTTAAAAACTATAATATATTTCATAATTATAACTCGCATTAAAATTAAAATATCTACACAATCTTATGATATTCCTCGGATAATATTCATTCAATTTATATTCAATTAATTTTTACATATTTTTGAAATACCTACTTTAGTAGCATTATTGTATATTATTTGTACTAATGCAGCGGTCCGCATGCTGCCCTTTAACAAATTTATCGAGGCCCGTAACAAAACGTTTAAAGCTCAATTTTACATTCTAAAATCCAAAATTCTACATATTCTACATAAGAGTAAATAAAACGGCCTTACGCTTTATTAAGATGAAACACGAGGTGACGTAGTAAGAGCACACGTGATAGATAACCAAAATGTATCATAATGACATTACAGGTGAATCGTTTAACAATATATTGTACAATCATTTGTTTGTACTACCCACCCCCTCTATTTAACTACAATAATGTGCATTATAACTGTTTGTTTAATTAATATCAGATTTTCTCAGATGTTTAATTTTTAACAAAATATTGTATGTGGAAAACTTTTTAGTTAACAAAATTATAATAAGAAACTGTCTGAAAGGCAGCAGTTTCAGTCATAATATTATTTTTTTATAGGTACAGTCCCAGTAAATTTCTATTGGAAATAATAACATGATGTCGTTCAAACATGATTTAACAATGAATGCTTTATTGATGTTTGTTTTTTTCCAAGGAACATGTACTCGTAAGTTGTAAATAAAATTAACAAATTTCTTTAAATGTTTATGCAGTATACAGAAATAAATGGTTAAATTATTGGATAAAGTGCAGTAGTAAAATTATATTCATATACTTAATTATCAATTATTTTTCACATTTTTCAGTAAGACCAACATGTGAAGGTATGACTAAATAATTGTTATAATACCAATAATGTAATATTGACGTTCAGCAAAAAATATTTTTTCTTACAAATAATAATTATTAGTACATAATTATTAGGCAGAGCCGTACTATTTAATATTTTTAATCCTGAGAGAAAGCTTTAGTAATGCGTTCCCATATTCATTTAATCTAACATAACCAGGGGTTTCCAGAGAGTGTGGAATCTGGAATGTGTTGGGGGGGGGATTAACAAACTCCCAGTTTTTAATAGTTTTTATTAAGAGTCAGAAAAATCTGAAAAAAGGTAATTAGGTTTCGAATAAAATAAAAAATTCAATTTTCAGTCACAAATATATTATTCTTATGTCCTCCATTATTTATTTTTTTCGAGGTGGTTCTAAACATAATCTACATTCTTATTTCATTTATACCTATCTGTATTGAAAACTTATTCAATTGACCCATGGCAAAATTAACCTAGTGTATTATATTCTTCATAAAATAATTAAACGTTATTTTTACATACGTTAACTGTAGGGTCAGATATAATTGATAAATGGGAAAAATTATTATTATATTTAATACTTAATATTGTTAAATATAATTTTTTTTTCATACCACCGGGGATGGAAATAAATGTAATGTGTATAGTAATAAGTGGTCCATACGTTACCCTACAATGTCGGAAAGAGTTAAGTAATCAGCGGACATGATCACGGACACGAGAACGATAGAAAATTGCATGAATTGTGCGCTCCACGTGTAGTCTGTTGTTAATCATAAAAGACAAATATTCTATTGATACTTACATTGATTATCCGTAGAAACAGTATAAATTAATTAATAAAGTGTAATGGTTTTAATATTATGATTGGTATCTAAGTTTCAATTCAAAAATCTTCTAAACAGTTTCTATTTTATGTACACAGCAAGTTTCACGCTAACTTTATTGAATAATCAAATATCAAATTATAAAAATCAAGAGACATTTAGAATGATAACTAGACTAGATTTACTTTCTTTATCAATTATCTGTAAATACTTCATATTATATAAGCTTCATACCTTTACTAATATTATATAAAGTAAGGACTCAATAAACAAGCATTGCGAAATTACTTAGCAATTATTTACTTGTAAAGTACTAATTTGAATAAGACAGAAATCATAATTTAAATCTTGTTTTGGTATTTGTGTGGTTTTATAATTTACCAACAATAATACTAATCAACCGAAATTTAACTAAAATTGTTTAATAATCTATTCGCTTAAGTTTGTAATGGTGTCCGAATGCAGAGTTTTCTATTATAAATCACTGTAATCAATAGAATAACAATTGTTGGTACAATTATACGAACCTCTGTTCGTAGGATTAATACACCAGTACCCCAGTACCGCCATTAAATAACCTATTTTATAAGATTTAAAATGGTGTATAAATGGCAAATTCTTGATTATAAATTATTTCAAATGTAATAACAATAGACTTTAGTGGGCCCGTTATTTTAGTTTTCTCGTAAACGTTTAGTTTACACATTTTGTGTTTTTGCTACTAAATGTTTGAATTGGTTTGGAATCAATTAGGTCATTTGAGGGAAGGCTAATTATTTTACATATGCGTATATTTTACTATTAAAACTGTTGATAATATTTACTGAAATTCCTAATATCATTTCAAATGAATTTTGTAAATTGTCCTTATAGAATATATGTACTTTAAACTGAGACGTAAGTAAATAGTAAAATATTATATAATAAAATAATTTTCATATTTGGATTATACATTTTTAATAAATGAATAAACAATTATTACATATATATATATAGCATGGATAAAAAATAGAACAATAAAACAATTTTGGGAACAAGAAATTAGGACCATACCCACACGTAAGTTACAAATTATTATTAAGTATGAGTTAAAGTTACAGCGTTCTATATATTATTATGCCACATTACTCTAACATTTTTTTTTAAAAATAAACTTGGATAATGCTGCCAATTAATAGAGGATAGAACTGATAATTTTGTCCACTATTGATTTTTCCAATATAAAATACAATTTTTCCTTTAGAATTTCGTACAAATTGATTTCAAGATAATAAATAAAGATGTATCGTTAAGAGGGCATAACATTTGCTCTGTCTATTTAACAGGTAATGTAGCAAAAATGTCTTTTTGTCAGTGTCATCATTACACGCATAGGACGCCAGGATGCCTATGTCCTATGCAAATAAATCATAATATTAATTTTTTGTTTACGTAGTCGGTAGATTTTAAAATAATTTAGGCATCTTGGTATTAAATAAAACTGTTAAAAAAATATTAAAAGATGTGAGGGCAGATCACCACCTCGTCACGAGTAATATCTTACGTCGTTGTGTAATACCTTCAATGGGCTAAAACGTAAATTAAACCTTTCAACACTAAAATTCTGAAACTTCATTTATTTATAGAATTTTCAATATAGGTTGCTATTAGGAAACCAAAAGTGTGCATCCAAAATTAACAATGACAAAAAAAAAAAAACTTAAATGTAAATACGCTACGCAAGTGCATTTTGATGCTATACAACTAAACTATAAAAAACAAAATAAATAAATAAGTACAATAATTGAGATAAGATAACAAAAAGCTCAATTCAGCTTAGTTTCGGCCATATCTCCAAAATCGATGTATTACTTAACAATATTATACATCAGCTGTTATATTTAATACTAATATTATATTTAGCTACTAATTTACTATATTTATGTTGTAATCAAGTTAGTGTTTTTTAAATGAATGCCTGTTATGACGTAAATAAATAAAATAATAATTATAATAAAAATTAGGTAGCTAATAATTCATTTTAACAAACATCAAATAATTAAAATGTTTAGCTAATATGGAAACTATGTTTTGGTGTAAGTATAAATTATTAAAACAATCAATTGAAATAATCACGATAAAACTAAAAGAATAAGGAATTTCAAAATTCAACATATGACCGAACCAATCATAAATGATCGTATTATATTAGCTAATCGTAAATTTTAAAATAATATATTATCACGCATAATTCCAAATTTATATGCACAGATTATATTAAATTTGATTTATATTTTTTTTATTAATAATTTCTATTTATTACCACACAGTTTATTGGATACAAATGGGTACGTAAGCCATAACAAATAACCAACAATTAATTACATTAATCGTATGTGTTAATAATATTGGTTGTTGCCAGTGGTAGTTTAACGGGGGGAGGGTTCCAGGGGTCTGAACCACCCCAGACTCCAAGTTTAGGCTTTGAATTAGCTGGTCTTTGAAAATTTAAAAAAAAAAAATGAAAATAATTGGTAAATTAATACGAGTTATAATTCTTTTTTTTATACACATCATTTGGGAAATATATTATGCATGATATATAATATTATATATTTATCAAGTGGGAAAACAGGAAAAAAACGGGAAAATATTACGGTCTTTTTTTTCTGTGGACAACTTTTCTACTAGCAATTTTGCTCCGATTTACAATGATTGAATAATAGCACTTTTTCTAAAAGTAAATCTAACTAGAAAGGTAATTTAGGGAAGTCATTTTTTGATTTTTTCAGGAATTTTTCCAATAAATTTAAAATCAAATACCCCTCAGAATCGTTTTTGCATTAACAATGATTAATCGTTGGTTACAGTTATACAATAAATAACCTATAGCAGTGATTGCACCCGTCCCCATCATATGATTATATGATTTTTTCAGACAGTGAAAGTTGGGCAATTTAAATTAAATTAATGCATGATCAATAGGAAAATATTTATTTATGTTAAAGATATAGGTAATATCAATGGACCCCCTCCCCAGAAAAAATTCCTAAAACCGCCACTGGTTGTAACATATAGACGCCAACAACTAATATAATAATATAAATAAATAGGGTTAGGACAGTGTTTCCCAAACTTGTTTTACTCAACGCCTCTTTTAGATTTTTAAAAATTCCCATTCCCCTCCCCCCTAATAAGTTAAAAAAATTACAATTTAGTTTTTATAATCAGCCATTTAAAATTGAAAAATAAATAATTTCTTCACATTTGTGCATGGAAATTGTATTAAAAAAAATTACAAATAAGTATAACGACGTACACGCACACTGAAATATAACTTTCTGTAATTAATGCAAGTATACAACTATCGGGAATATCCGTATGAAAATGGAACCAAACGAAGCTTATAGGCATCAATACCATAAGATAAAAGCTGGTTTATTACTATTTCGGTGTCATTATAGTGTGTGTAAAATATTAAATTATAAAATTATTTTCTATTCTATTGTAAGCAGATAAAAATTGCATTTCAATAATTTATGAATTTTCTTATATTGTTTTAATAATAATATAATTGTTTTTGATTATAGCGAATTATTTTAGATTCTGAGTGTGGCGAAGAATATATTGGTTTTACATATATTAATTATTTTTTTTTTTTTATGTGAACACTTTCTACCAGAAAGATTACTCCAATGTAAATTTTCTCTCGGTGGTATTTTAAGGAGGTTATTATTTTCTCGGCAGTTTTCCCAATAAAAAGGAAAAAGTGAGAAAAACGGGAAAATGTACGAAACATATTAGTAAAATATTATGATTTTTGACCTCCGGACATTTTTTCCTCGGACATTTTGATAGAACCCCGATTTATTGGTTACTGAATGAATATTTTTTATACCTCATGGGTTAGCAATTAATTAAATAAAATCCAGAATGAGTAGATTTTTTTCAACTTACTGACCACCAGATGTGCCACGACACACCCTGTGCGCACGCCTATGCTAATAAATTAAACGCTCTGGCATATAATTAAAAGACATTGCGGGATACTGAGTATGATCTATTTAATATAATTCGCGAACATTAAAAATATCACGTTATAATATTTACCGTCTAGTGAATTTGAAGTGCAACATAAAATAAATCACGAATCTATCATCGATGTATAACCCATTGATACGTGCTGTGCACTAGACGCTTGTGAAACATACGTTAAATTAACACATTTTACTTACGATCAATCATTTATGATTGGTTCGGTCATAAGTTGAACTTTGAACTTGTCTGCAGTCGACGAATCTGGGTATTTTCACCAGTAATTAAATTATTAATATTCTTTATTAGAAATAATTTTAATTTTGGCGACCAACAATAATATTAATGATCCTTTTTTTTTGGATTATTTTTCATTTCTGGACGATTCATGAAATTTATTTAGTGTCATACTCTCATTTGTAAGTATAGATACCATTTTCTGATAGAAAATTTATTCACAGGGGAAAAAAAAGGCCGTAATATTTTTTAACTAATACTTACATTTCGTACATTTTCCTGTTTTTACAATAAATTGAGAAAACTCTTAGGACAATAAAAAAAAAAACCTTTCAAATATTTTTTCAGAAAAAGTGCTAAAAAAGGCTTGTAAATCGGAGCAAGATTTTTGGTAAAAATATGGTTTACGAATAGAAAAATAAAATAAACATCATTATAAAACCAATACATCCCTTGCTTCACTCAGAATATAAAAAATGTATTATTTAAAAATATAAGTGACTCGCTAAAAATATGATCGTTATCAATACTTTGGGAACCTCTGTTTTAATATCTATAATATGTATGAATATTTTTTGGTTTTTTAGAAGATTTAAGTGCACGATATATAAGATTTATTCATCAATACAATGGTAATCTTTTAGTTTTTAATGTTTATAAAATATAATCTAACTACTTTTCACATTAATTATTTTTCAGTTTAATATTATAATAAATTGAAACGGTGGCGAATCTGAAGCTTATTTAAAGGGATGGGTTGAACTTAAAACAAATTTCAGAGGGAGTTTAAGTTCGGACTTAGATTGAGTGGAGAGCACTTTTTAAAAAAAGTTCAAGAACGATAATAGTTAACCCCCCCTCCTTCAAATCCATCACTGTATTTAAATATTTACAAACAATTTAAAAATTTGTATGATTTGCGAATAAATATAATATTGATACACAACAGCATTTTATAATTTTTTCTAAATAAATAAAACATAATACAGGAAAAAATAAAACACTGTTTGATTGAATTAGAAACACAAATTAATTGTGACGATTATGTACTGATATTTGAATTTCTATTCTTCTATTTTTCAAAGAACGATTTCGAAACTTAAAGGTTTTAAAGTTCTTTAGGCTTTTATAAAATTAAATCGAATTAACGTTATTGAAAACGGATGTCCAATATTCTTTATATTAATTTAATTACGTCTAAATAAACAACGTTATATTGGAATATAATAGTACTGTTACATAGAAAATTACTTGGAACGTTAGATACTATTGTAACAAATAAAGCCGATCTCGAAATCGAACTTATAGCGTTTTTAGAAGATGGGGGTCTGAAACAGTACAAAAACAATAATATCATTCAATAATACACATTTGGAAGCACGTTCCTATTTCAAAATACCCAAATATTAAAAATTAGTGCGATGAAATTAGTATACATTTTTAGAACGACACGTTCGTGTGAATCGCTTTATTCTACAATGAAAATAATTTAGTCGAAATATCGTTCAAATTTAACTAATGAAAATATCATATAATTAATTAGAACTGTTTTTACATCAAGTTGATATATAAGTCAGTTGATAGTAATGCTTTATCAACATTATGTATTTCATATTATGGTAAAATAATTAAATAGGCATTATATATTTGTTTTAATAATATTTGTTTAATATACCAATTTTTCCGTTTGTCCTAAGTTTTTTTTTTTTCGGTTTTTCACATTTATTGAGAAAACTGTTGGAAAATAGGAAACTAACCTTCCTTAAAGTACTACCCCAAGAAAATTTCCTTTCAGAAAACTGTCTACATCGTATACATAGGAAAAAGATTTCTGGTAAAATACGTGTAAATATTGTAAAAAAGAAGAAAAAAAAATAAAAATCTTTATAAAACCAATACATTCTTCGCCATACTCAAAATCTAAAACAACCAATTGGATAAAACGAAAAAAAAAAGTAAAAGTTTAAGTTGACGGACTTGTATAGTCAACGACGTTCACGGAACTCTTTGTTTTTTCGAATTTTTATTGAACCAAACAAGTCGTTTATACATTAATCGAAAAATAGTACGTGAAATACCGCGATTTTAAAAACATTGCGGCTTCGTATCATAAGAACATATTATAATAAACACATAAACCTTACATTAAATTGTCGAGAATTCATGAAAACCGAATAATTATTCTTCAAAAAAAAAAACAAATAAAAACTAAAAGCCAAACAAATTAAAATACCTATAATCGCTTAAAAGTTTAGGTATTTATGATTATTTTAGACTGAATCACAATGAATATATAAAATCTAGAATAACGAAAATCATTATTTTGTAAATATTTTTGTTTTCCACACATTTCTTTTCCAAAATTATGAAGATAACTACAAGGAAACCTAAAAATATTACATTTTTAACATATTTCCAAAGAGCTCTCTTATAGGTTTTCGTTTAATAAAATCTAAAAATATAATGTACTTTAATAACTCATAAGACGAAAGTAGCATAAACATGAAATGAATTACTTTATAATTTACTTTTTTAGGTGTAACATTTTTTTTAAACTGTAAACAATTATTGAAATAATCAATTATTAGATTATATAATAATTACTAAATCTGAATAATTCTTAACTAGTAATTCGTTAAGTTTTATTTTTATATCAATTAGGATTCTGCGCAGTACTTGTTTTTTACTCAAAATATACATTACAAAATAAACTCTCATAGTTCGTACAATAAACTAAAGTCGATCATGTTTTTACTATTTAAAAAAAGAAAAATTTTTTACAGGGTGCACTTTTAATTTTCGGTTATGTAACCAAAATTAAAAAAACAATTAATTTAAAATTGATCACATTAAAACACTAATTTTGGCGTTTAGAGGTATCATTTCCGAAATCCAAATCCAATGCACCTTGTAACAACAACAAAAAAAATTATGATCAAAATCGGTTTACTTTTTAAATCGTATAAAGTAATTCATGTAAAACAAGTTTTGAGCAAAAACAAGTTGCAAGCACACAGCTACATAGGCCTCCTTTTTCCTTAATATTAAATTTAAACTAAACATAACTGATCTGTCTTTTATTTTGATTTAGTATTTGACGAGGGTGAGTGTATTTATTAAATAGTATACATTTTCAGAAATAATACAAATGTTTTTTTTAAATTTTTTTTTTTTATTAGAAACGATGTCTATGGATAGCTGGTGTAAAACTTCAGGTAAGTGTATAATGTATTATACACGTAGGTAATTTATAATATAATTCTATTATATTATGAAATGGAAACAAAAATCACATTAGAAGTTTTTATTATCAAAGATTTTTTTTTTTGATTTTTTATTAAATATATATAAATCTTTCATTTCTCAGTGAATGGAACATAAATCTTGTTAAAACACTCTAAGAATTCGATTTAATTTAAGCCTATGTAACAGCGTATTTGGCCCGACCCTGGATGCCGCATTTAAAAGGGGTGTCTTAAACTTTTAAAACGTGGTCAAATCGCAAATTTGTTTAAATATCAACCCCATCATTCAGTCAACACTTGCTCAGCAGAGCATAAACATAATGCGTTTTAGAACCCAACGTGCAAAGTACAATATGTAAAGTGTGCAACTCAAAATTCCAGTGTGTTGTATAAAATGTGTTCTTATGAACAGGAGTATTTCATTTTTAAATTCCGTCTTTTTCTTGAATTAATACTAAATTTTAATGTATTACATAAACTTTAAAAGGGGATACCTTTTATATTAATTGCATTATACCTCTATTTTATTTTTGTTCTTATGCAGTTAAACGAAGAACTTGTTATGGTAAAATGTTTTGATATTTAAGTTGAAAATAATTTTTTTATTGAATATCTACATGAATATGATCAATATTGAAACCAAAATATTTCCAATTATAAATATTATGCAATTTTAAAAATCATGTTTTTATAAGGAATAAAATAATGATTTACGAGATAATTTATAATTTTTCTTATAGTTAAGATATTTTTTATTGATAGCTGAAGGTATTACATTCGGTTGAATAATCTATAGAAAATGCACGAGAAAAAATATTTATGTAATCATACACAAATATCTGTATTTAAATATAACTCAGTTTAACACAAACTTGTTAGTTAATCTCTGTAAAGTCAAATGACAGATAAAGAAAATTAACATTGAGAGTGCACTCATTGATACCTCAGAACTCACAACTATAGTTGAGTAATAACTCAACTATATTCTTTGGTAAATATTATGTGGATAAAATTGTTTGATCAAGCAGAAATATTTCAAAGCGTAAAAAGATTGAGTTAGTCGTACCATCACAAATTAATGGAAATATTGGATCAAAAAAGTATAAAACCGTCCTCTCTAATAAGCAGTCACAATGATAACCCAGTGTTCTAGCCTTATCTTCTAAGACCATGGTATGATTGGCAAACAGGTTATTGTGATCGCAATTTATGCAAATATTTTTAATAAAATACTCAATAGTCGTCTGAAAACAATGATACTAGTAATCGTTTTTACTATTAGTTTGTGTTTGATGCTCATCGAATTAATACAATTATACACATTACACATATTTTAATGAATAATTATCAATAATATAATATATAAATTGGAATACATAATTTAACTAATAATATAAAAATAGTTTTAATTGTAATTTGAAATTTATTAATAGAAGAAATACAAGATAGCGGTATCTTCAAAGACTGTATGTTAATTTTTAATTGATTCTTAATACTTTTTAGTATTATATTTTCCTTACATTTTAAAATACCAAACACAAATTAACAAAAATGATTTGTATTTTGCAATTTTCTTGAATAATGAATTTTATAGGTTAATAATACATATACTTTATGTTCAATGTAATTTAATTAAAAATTATAATTCTTTTTCAAGGCTATGTGAGGAAACAGTTTTGGACTAAGGCAGTTCAATTAAGTAAGTATTTACATATTTGAATGATAATTTATTATTATTTAAATGTCTATAAATTATAATGATTGCTTTATTTACCTATATTCTTTGAAATAATTTGTATTATATAGGGAATACTAATTTAAACATAGATAAAAAGATAGCGAACAATAGTTATAGCATCGTGCGCGAGCTACTATTATATATAGAACTAAACCACGGCGATACGCTATTCTGTGTTATCATTTACGACTGGCAAGCCTTCATTGGAGTTCATTGAAGCCATTTCCACATCAAGGTGAAAAAACATACATTACCACACACCGGAGGTCCGGAAAAGAAAAAGAAGTAGAGATACGTACAGAAAAACAGCCATATTAATGGAGTAATTAGGTACTTACACTAGAGGCATGCGGGGTATAGCATTTGTACTCGGTAAAATACGACAGACAGTTAAACACCTTCCCTCCTGATTCTTCTCTCGAATTACTTGGTTACGCGTAAGAAGAGTCCCGCTTCCCGACACGCATATTAACGTAAGTTTGGCTTTGCCTCATCATCGATCGCTTACTTGTATTTAAATCTTGGCCAACGCCAAAATCATTCCCCATGCCCTCTCGATATCCAAAATCAACATGAATGAGCAAGGAATACACGTAACAGGCGAATAGGATCCAGATTAAGTTAGAATCGCTGAGCTAGAAGAAATTAGTATAAGTATTTCACACAACAGGCAGTAGTAGAAGTGGTTTTGGTAGCGATGGTAAAGCAAAAAATCGACAGGTACCGAACATTCACGGACTATACTTAATAGGCGGAAGATCTGGTTACAATTGCAGTTTAGAGAGCACAGTCCGCAAAGAAGCCGACTATGCAGAGTTCCGTGTTACAAAAAGTTGTATACACTGAATTTCGAAGTTAGAACTTTAAACAGCCTTACAGGCCATCATTATTTTTTTATTGAACTTATAAAATCAAATTTATTAGTTTTGTTTTGATTTGAGGTAATGTCAAGATGCGGTCAACAATGTCATTTGTTTATTTATACGTAAATAGATGTCCATTGCATTATGTATTTTAATCAAAGATTCGAAGATTACACCAAAAGATAATTTCCTGCTTAGATTTTGTTTGTTATTATCAAATTAAATTATTACTACACACAAAGGTATTTTTGAACATCATTATAATCTCATGCATTATATTACTTTAACAATTTATATGTTTTGCGTTTGCATCGACAGGTGACAACTATCGACGGTTTTCTTTATTTTACGTCAAATCTAAAACGGATATTTTTATTGTTTGAAATATTTTTTTTATTTAAACTTATATTTTAAACAACAATGTATGCCACTTATAATTATCATTATTTTATTTAATGCATTATATTTTATTTTTATTAATTTTAAACTAAAATTATAGCTGCATTCACAACGTCATAAAATGTCATAAATATATCTCTCCTATTTAACATCAGATTTAATATTGTGATTGCGTGTATAATATGTTAGGCTGGGGGTAATGAGTAGATTAGATTGATGGTAATTGAAACATTTTGTTTTAGATAATTTGGGAGGGGGGAATTTGTATTAAATATAGACATTTTGGAAGGAACTGGTACATACCTAGCTCATTTAACATTCAATTTTTGTCTCCGAATTTTAGCAAAGGAACAGTTTAAAACCATATCAGGTAAGTTGATAGCCAACAGGTAATTTAAAAAATTTAGAAATAATATTGCCTAATCTCGTATGGATACAAAGCAAAATAATAAAATAACAAGAGATATTTATAATTTAAATAATATTCTTGCAAATACAATTCATTAAACAATAATCATAGGGATTTAAGATTTTGTAAAACAAACAATATGTATAATCACGGCTCACGAGCCTGGACGACATGATGATGAAATACCTATTTGGAAATGAGCACAAACATCACTAGTTACTAATAAACATAATACTAACACTGAGTTATTTTGTAAAATATAAATTTAGGGGAGCTTTAGATAATTTTTATAAGCTAAGCCCCATAGTCAGTGGCACACATAGATGAGGGATAGGGGGCAAAACTCCCTTCGAAATGTCTCCCTTTACTACATTTTTTTTTTAATCAAATTTTACATTTAACAACATAATATCTCATACCATGGAATAAAATAAAATTTAATTTCATCAATAATAATTTATTCAATAATAATAGTGATATTACTGTATAATATTGAAATCTGTTTCAGGCAATGCTAAACGATTCGCAAAATATCTCAGAAAATTTAATTCTTTCAGTAAGTGAATATTATATTGCGTTTATTTATTTCGTTATTTGAATTAGGTATACAAATTACTAAGCTAAACTTGGTCAGAAACAGAAAGGGTGTGGAAAATAAGATGTAGGAGACTGGCTAAATTGGACGTACAAACGCATGATGCTAAGTTTCAATCAGTTTAGATGTAGTTTTATTTGTCAAAAATATCAACGTACTAGACTATATAACCGATGTAATGAAAAATTTAAAACTAGCATTCCTGCATCAAAATATTTTAAATCCTCATTCTAGTTCTGTTATTTTAGATTGATAAAAACATATTATTTTGCTTATAATAAAGTACTTTGAACCAAGTGATGTGTAATAGTGTTGAACTGTAAACTATTATTGGTTTATATCCACAAAATCATGAAACAGCGAGGCTTATTAGTCTTATATATGGCGACGTAAATATTTTGAAAATTAACGTAAAAGAAGAAAGGGGATTAATAAGGAGAACCAAATAATCTCTACATAGGCATCTATTTTTAAGTACCTGTAAGGAACTTCAACGTTTGTGTTTTTTTTTAGTTTTTGAATGAAACGTAAGGGATTTTGATAATAATACTTAATCCTATCCACTTAATTAGGTTGGTTGACTATGAATCCAGATCAAAATATCATGGCAATAATATCGCGGTCTTTATATCGTGGTCAAAATGTCGTGAATACAAAAATGTCGCCACATAATAATTTATTATTATTGTTTATTATAAACACATTAATATGCACATTGCACACTTATCTAACAATTTACGAATATGAATAATATAATTGTACATAATGGTGACTACACAATACAATATAATAAAAAAAACCCTATACACAACTTATTGTATACAAAACGGTTACAAAATGTACAACGTTTAACATTTTCACTGCTATTGGCGCATTAGGTGCATTTACTCGTTTATATTAAAATCTAATTAACTGATAAAAAAATTAAAGACGGCCATTTTCACACGAAGGATGGGCCACTATTGTAGGTGAAAAGTTGAAAAGGTAGGATATAGAGGAGAATTTAATTTATATCTGTGTATAACGACAAACCATTGTTATCAAAGGTTATTCAGAGTGAAGTTCTTTTCATACATATAATTAATTTTGTGTAGAGAAGATATTCCCAATTTTAATATACTATTGGAAAATCAAAAACCAACTCGGTGCGCATCTATAAAACATTTGAAAAAGTAGATTTTTTTGTATTGTGGAACATTTTGTATTCGTGACCTTTTTGCGCACATAAAGTTTTTTACCATGACATTATTTTTACCGTGGTAATGCGGTTTTGGACATTTATGTTTTCTCAGGTGTTTATCCTCAAATCCTCTATCATCTTATTTGAGTGTCTGACTCCAAATCGGATTTCTGGATTTAAGTCTCTTAGATGAATGATATACGATATCTTTTTGTATCGGTAAATCTGGATGGTTTATCAATTTAGATTTTACCATTCTCACCTACATCTATAGTCATGCAAAAATATTACGTATTTACACAATATTTTTTAATAATATATCACAGCAGTGTATATACATTATACACTCGCAACTAAATAAACGCAAAATTGAGTACCAGAAATAATGTGGAGAGTCAATTAAACCTGTGTTGGATCTAGTGAGGGGTTCAAAGAGTCCTCTGACCCACAGTTATTTTTTTTTGATAAAATTGGCCTCTTTGGTCTCTAAAAAAGAAATTTAAATAATTGACCTCTTGTAGAGAAATATTTTGAAAAATTTAAGAAATAATGGGTCTGATTACTAATGGCCTGTCCATTATTTTTATCTATGATTCTGCAGTGGTTAAATGTATATCTTAATAATAATATAGTACCTTAAACTTACTCAAATAGTTAAACTGTTAAACAATTTTTAATTTTATATAATTTACAAACTTTAAATTTTCACATGGAAAATATTATACACTATCGAAATTAAAGCACATTACTTATAATAAGATCAGATTTGGATAACATTTTTTTTTTAAATATTTAGGATAAATAATTAAATATGTATGGAAAATAGTATTCAGAATATGTATTTTTATCAAATCTATACGATAGTATTTTCAAAATACATTTTTATAAAAATGTAAGGTATGTTCGGATGATTCAAAGGAAACTAAATTATATTATATTAAATGATGATTATGCATTAAATAAAATACATAAAATACTAGCCATACCATGTGGTCTTAAATAATTGTGTGTATCTCTCCGTTATGATAATATTAACATTACAAAATTTAGTCGATAGGTATATACTTATTATATTAACTTACGTAGACATTTATAGCAATATTGAAAATGATCATCTTGTAGTTAAATGTTTGTTTATTTTTTTTATTTTAGATTTTGATATTAGTAAGTTTAGATAACAAACAATACATAATATTACAATCAAGTATAAATAAAAAAAAAAAAAACTGATACTGTTCATTATAATATTATAATGAATATCTACTTTTGTATGAGTAAGAAGTTAAATATAAGGTTTATTATAGAGTAATTTATACGATTTGAACACTGAATGCAACGGTACTAAAATAAAAGTAATGGTTCTAAAGAGAAGGACCTTAAAATTGTTTTGATAAATTCAAAATAAATATTTTATTAATTTGTAACTAAAAGAATTTTAGAACATTTTTAATTTTTTTTTTTTTAATAAAACTTTAATGCAAGATTCATCATTGGTTGTACTAATACTTTGCGATACTAAACGTTTCGTTTTTTTCGAGTTTGTTTTTCTATCAGAAATTTGTTCTAAATTTCAAGAATAGCCTATGTTCTAAAAGAAAATGTTGTTTTAATGGTTTCATTGTATTTTATTTTGTTTTTTTTACTGCAATTTGTTTAAAAATAATCGTAAAGACCTGAAATTTGTATAGAATAGAGGATCCCAAACTATGGGTCGTGACCTAAAAGTAGGTCGCGATTATATTTTTATTGGGTCTGGTTACATTTTTAAATAATATATATGTTTTTTAATATTTTAGTCGCGTTTTACATTTTCACTGTGGTATACCTAATGATGAATTTTTAATTCAAACCGGTCGTATAATACACTTATCATAATAATTCAGATGACGTATTCATTAATTTATTTATTTTTTATCTCTATAAATAAATTTTTAGGTCTATATTTATTTACGAATATTAACCATTTTAATAATTTTGTTTTTACTTTATTATAGTATTAATATTATTATAATACAATCGTAATTGTATATAATACACATCAATTATGAATAAAGGTATAAAAGAAGATACAAAATTAGCAAAAGAAAAATCACCTAGTAATGACAGTAAAACAGTATTTGACATACCAATATTTTTTGAATAATTCCTAGTTTTAATAAAGCTAGAAAAAATGAACTAAGGTATTTACGTAAAACGGTAACTGACCAGGAACAAGAAGTTTGTATTTTAGATAAAAGTTTTGAAAATTTGAATATAAGTATTAACAATCTTACAGATAATCTAACCTAACCTAATCATTCTCGATCTAAATTTCTCGAAACATTAACTCATACCTTGTTACCGGGTGATATCGAGTCATCTACTATTGAGACTATTGATGATTATATGATACATTTAGGAAAACTCATCAAATCTTCTACAGATCTTTCCTTAATAAATATTTTGAAGAAAGGTTTTAACAAAAAAAATGTAATTTGACAATAAAAATATGGCTATTCAATTTACTTAAAACATAAGTTTTATGTGTTTTATTTTGTCTAATTTAGTTTAATATTCAATGAATAATATATTTATTATTCAATAAATAATAAAGTAAAAACAATATTATTAAATACTCATTATTACTCGTAAAAAAGTGTATAAATAAATAAATGAATGCGTCGCCTGGAGTATTATGAAATGTTTATTGTAAGACCGGTGTTGAATTAAAAATTCATCGTCAAGTAAAATCACATAGTTTGACAATTGACAAAGCAAAACACGACTCTGAGTTTTAAAATCGAAATTTGACAAAAATCATAAATATAACGGCATTTCTAAACATATTTAATCCAAAAATTGTATTTCGTTAACAGTGATTAATCGTTGTGTGCACATAAATTAAACGAATTCGTATGTTCTATTTTTTAACTTACAACCCAAACTAGTGGTGCACCTATGAAGCAGTATCAGTTCTTTTTAGATTGATAGATTCAATAAAAAATCTACCTTACTATGATGTAAACTAATATTTTTTTTTGTATCTGTAAATAACTTTTGTACCAGCAATATTACTTCAATGTATAGAGTGTATCTTTTGTAAAAGAATATTTTGTATAGTTGGTAACAGGTCATTTTTTTTGTTTTCTAAGTAGTTTTCACAATATTGTAGAAAACCGGAAAATAAACTATCGAATAAAAGACAATTATTTACAGTACGCCACAGCGTAGACCCAACGATTGCATTAATTAAAATATTTAAGATAATATTTTTCTACCAAAAATCAAGATCTTAAATTCTAAAAACACTTTTGATGTTTCTTGATTGGAACAAGATTTCTGATTGAAAATATAATCTTTCTGTACAATAACATTAAATCATCAACTAAATAATATTTACTACATTTACTACCATCTGGTGTTTATAATATTGGAGAAAGTCTTATAGTGAAAATCGTGTTACAGACGGTAAAAACACAAACGGCATAGTAAAACTAATGCCTTACGCTCAGAACCTAAAGTAATATTAATTCTGTTTTAGATCGTGTATACACTGCAGAAGAATGGTGTGAAAAAAGTAAAAATACATTTTGTCATCATTAAGAATTTTTAATCTATAATTTTAATTTTATATACGTTCGGGTCTATACAAAATAAAATTAAAAAGATAAATAAGGTAATTAGAATCATTTAGAATAAATAACAATAGCGTCTATTCAAATAGGTTTTCTGTAAAGCCTTGCACTAAATCTACTGTGGCAACCCGACAAAGTTTATAGTTTGGTCGGAAAAATTGATTTCGTTATCTTATTGAAATTCAAGGGTAAATTGAATATTTGTATTGATTTTATTGAGGCTATGCACAAAACTATCAGCTTATATATCAGTTTTAAATAAAATAAACGTGTCATCAACTCATCTGAAATACCTCGAAATAAAATATTTATATTGCTTATTATTTAGAATATTATGCGTTTCATATTTTTCATACATAATTTCGAAGCACTTAATAGAAAAATGCAAAAATTAAAATACATTTATTTTGTATGGATAATATTATAATAATAATAATTTAAATTGGTTATTGTTATTTCAATTTCATTGACTTCTGGATTCAGTTGATGGTGGTTGTATAGGTAAGTCAATGTAAATTATTGCAATATATAAATATTATACTGTGCAATAATCAGTAGCGGATACAAGGGGGGGGGGATGCTGGAGAGCTCGTCCCCCCAATAGCTTTATTATATTAGTAATTGTAATAATATGAGTTAATAATGATTATAAATTATCGTTTAAATTGCAGTTAGACCAATTATTACGATAGTTGATAATTTTAATACTTAATTGTAATCATATCTGTATTTTATATATAGTGTTTTTTATTCAAAATTTACAATTTCCCTCCTCCCCCTCTCCAAAAACAAAACCTACAACCATGACTGACAATAATATTATGTATATTCTAATCATTTAGTTTAAATAATTTAAATTGGTGAAAAATGTAAATTTATGAACGATTACATTAAACAAAGTTGTGTTGAGTAAATAACTAAAAACAAAAAATATTTTTTTTTTTCTAAATAATAGCTTATATTGTATATAACTGTGCTAATTTTTGTAGGTCAAACATTTTAAAGCTAGAATACATACAAGTATTTAATTTATATCTAATATATAAACCACAACTACCGAAATACAATTCAAATAAGTTATTAAAATTTGGAACAATATTTCTGGTAGAAAAGAAAATTTAAAGAAATGAAACTGTCAATACCCTACATTTTTCAATTTTCAATTTATATCTTTTTCTGATTTTCTAAATTTTATTGAAAATTGCTTGAAAAGTCAAAAAATTAATTACTTACATTTAGGTTAAATGTATAGGTACAATAACTAGTACTGTTTGGACGTTCAGTGACCAATAATATCACCATATTACAACACAATCACAGTTAACATGTAAACTCAAAACGAATTTATAATTTGTTATAATGTGCACGCATGGGCTATTTGTAGCAAAATGAAATGCATGTGTGTGAATAAAAACAATTGAGATGTAATCAAGGATGGAATACTTTTTAAATTTTTTTCGTTTTAGTTTTCGTTTATCAATAAAAAAATATCGTTTTTGGTTTACATTTTTAAATATTTTTGAGCAATACGTTTTTAATAAACGTTTTATTTTTTTTTTATCTGAAGTTTAAACTGTTTAACTATAAATAAACATAAAACAAATAAATAAATATAGGAGAAATATTTAAATATTTTTAATTTTATAATATTTATTACGATTATTTAAAATAATAATATTAATAATTATTTGTTAACAATTTGTTATTTTTGTAACATAAAAAAATTAATTAGGAATAACATGTTAGTTTATATCACATAAGTTTGGATTACTAAAACTATAACACTATACATCCAAATGACGCATTTATTAATTTATTTATTCAAATAAATTAATCATACTCAAAGTTCCGATAAAATTCAAATATGGTTTTATTTTTAAAAATTATCATAACAGACTAAAATATGTGAGATATTTAAAACTATTCCATATTCTATAATTTATATTTACTCAAATAATTAAATTTATCAATTCAAGTCTTGTATTGTAATTAAAACATAATATAATGTCAGTATTAGGAAACATACATAACTCTAATATATAACATCCTAAAATGATCTAAATCGGATTGTCTTTCAGAAACATTAAGAAGGGAAGGATACATAATTGAGGATTGTAAGTTTATAATGTTAAAATAAATATAATCAATAAGTTAAGATTTAAATTACATCTAGTTGGATTTGAATTCACACAGTTTAAAAAATGGTGACTTTTTTTTAATCGAGCTTAATCCAGTGGTGTTTATAATTTTGTGATTGGTGAATAAAAGCAAAAATATCAAATATTATTAGTAGACATAGGACAACATACCACAGATAATGTACAATTGTGTTTTTGAAACCAAATGTTGATAAAACTAACATCTATAAACAACGATTACATAACAATTGTTTCTCCATTTCATCAGCTGAGTTTTAACTAGGCAGTACTAACTGTATAGTTTAAATGTTAAAATTCAAATTATATGCTACTTTTTGACAGTTAACTTTTAACTTAGTTAATAAAAAAAACAAACATCAATAGTTTTTAATGTTTGTTATTTTTTATAGCAATAAATGTTAGCCTTAACAAAAGTATATTGAATTCATTTTTCGACAACAATAATTATGATTATTTTATTTGAAGCGTGTCCCATGCAGTAAAATGCAATATGATGTTATGATTTTAATATTTAATATTTTTTTTAGAAACATAAAATTAAAAATAAAAATTTGTTTAAAAAATTCAAGACACCAACATTTTTAGATTTTATAAGTTTATTTTTCAATAGCATATTTGTTTTACAAATATTTACTAATGATAGAAAGTTAATTTAATATAATATTTGATAACTTCAAAAATTACAGTTTTAGATTCTTAGTACAGCAGAGAATATATTGGATTTACAAAGATGTTTATTTTTGTTAAGATTTTTGAAGTGATTGTTAAAATTTTCGAGTTGTTTTCCCAATAAAAAGGAAAGAGTGAGAAAAAACGAGAAAATGTACAAAATATATTAGTAAAATATTACGGTTTATTTTCTGCGAACAACTTTTCTACCAGCAATTTTTCTCCGGTTTATAATTATAGCACTTCTTTTGAAAGGAAATCGGACTGGAAAGATACTTTAGGGACATTATTTTTCGATATTTCTAAGACTTTTCTCAGAAAATGTGAAAAACTGGGGATCTTTAAAAGATCAAGAGTGTAGTTTAATAAATTTACGAAGAGAAATAATCACGGTTCGTTAACAAATAACAAATGGCGCAAAATTTAACGTTGATATAAATAGGACTGTACAAATAAAAGAAATTAGTAATACACGCAGAGTTAAGAAGACAATAATTATTTTGCCATCAAAACGTAAGGAAAAAAAATTAGCGGCAAATCTGAAATGTGTACGTTCATTAATGGCAATATAATGGACGAATTGTATTTAAACGTTACACAGGGGTAAGTAGACGATTGTAAGATAACATAGATTTAATATCACTCATACCTTCCGTATTCAAATACGGAATTCTCGAAAAACGATCTGATTAGATATTTATTCAAAATTTAAACATATTAAAGAGAATACTAAATGAATTTGTCAAATCTCCTTACGACATTCTGTATAGGGTGTCTTACAGATTTATCCGTTTACCAATAACTTTGTCAATAAACATTTTATTTCCATTTTTTTTTTTTTTTAATTGGATTTTATGCCAAGGGCATACAAATTTGCAGGTAGAAAAAATAAATTTTTATATTGACCTCTTAAATCACGAAAAAAAAAAAATACTTTTTATTACCAACCATACTTACTACCATCAATATGACACTAAACACCAAAATTTAAGTATCTTCAATCATAAGTTATATTAAAGAAACTAAAATATTTTTCAAGGGAGAAATCTCATTTGAATGTGGTTATGTGGACAACTTTAACTATTTAGTAATATTAAACTGTTATGTAGGCATATTCATTGGCACATATTTAGGGGTGCTGAGCACACCTAAATCTAAAATTAGCACCGCCAGATTGAGCTAAATAAAAAATATACAAAGGTGGCCAAAAGTATAATATTTAAATAGTACTCAAATATGAGATTAGTAATTATTACTATACTATTGTGTATTAATTTATATTATATAATAAAATAATAAAGTAAAACAAAATTACTAAAATGATTAATACTCGTAAATAAATATATAAATAAAAAAAAATGTATGCATAAAAATAAAAAAATACGTCCTAGGATAACGAAAATGGGTGCAGCCTCTGTTATAGGTAATTTAATGTGTACCTGTAAACAACAATAAACCATTAATAACGAAAAAACGATTCTGTGCGCAGTTCAGCTGATAGTGATGCTTTGTCAACAATATATATGTATATTAAAAAAGTACCATCTAGACAACATTCCCTTTCAGAAATGGTGTCGTGCGTAAAAATCTGAGCAAGATTTCTGGTAGAATTTTTGTCCAAAGTATAAAAAAAATTACCATTTTAGTAAAATCAATACATTATTCGCTACTCGCAGAATCTAAAAATAAATAAATGAATAAATGCGTCGCCTGGAGTGTTATGATAAGTGTTACTGTGATACCGTGTTACACGGTAAGTTTATGTTAATTGTTTTCATATTTTTAAGGAGGTAATTATCCCGGGTCGGTTATTTATTAGGCAAATTAAATGTTTAGGTAATATAGAATTTTATTTTGAAATGTCGAATAGGTTGGAGAGTGGCGGGCAAAGCCATCCACGTGATACCTTATAGCTTATCGTAAATAATTTTAGCACTCCTGTTTTAGTCCTGTGCCAATGAGTATTTTAGTAGTCAAGTATGGCCATATGATGTCAAACAAAGCTCTTCTTATACTACAGTTAAAATCAAACTTTTTGCCATCACGTTCAAAGAAATGCTTGGAAATTTAACAAGAGGTTCAATTTATATTTTACTTAGTGGTCAAAAAGAAAAAAGTTGCATATGAATTTTAATATTAAATTTTACTATTTATAAATTATTATAATAATTACAATTATTTCGGCCAAAAATCCAAATATACACTTTTAGGCTATCCCTATAGCATCGTATCGCTTGATGATAATGATTTGTGTGTTATTGTTCTGCTTCACCTGTATCCTAACTATTTGAGGTCAGCCGTTCTCGTTCAAAAATTTCGTTTGACTCGATGTCCCACATCGTCTTCATATTATTCTCAGTCGCATTCAAACACTTTTTTTCGACCATACCCTCCTCATTGTTCCTTTTGCGGATATTTCTATCACAATTCTTACTATTTCTGATTTTTTTTTCTCCTCATGATAGTCATCTCAATCTATTTTCTTTCATTTTCTCCACTATCAAAAATACGCCTAAGTTATACTTTCTACCTCTTATGTACCCTCTTAATAGTATCTTATTCCATAGCTTCACTCATCCACTTAAGTATTTTAACTGCTTCACTCTTCTCTATTCTATATTTTATTGTCTACAACCCAATAATCCGAATCTTACATCATAGTCAGTCTCTTTTATAACTTTCCTAACCTGTCTTATTAGAATCCTTTTGTCCCATAAGACCAGTGACACATCTCTATACTCTATTCAATCACACTTAAACTTATATTACACATGTACATGAAATTCACCGTAATTTTGTACAAAATATTTTAGGTATTCAAAACTGTCAACCTCACCTATTCGTTTGAGCTTATTGGCATTAGCTATCTTGCCCTGTCACTCTCAATTTATATTCTGAATACTCAGTTTTACTTAACATTGACTACGTGAATTATAAATTATAAATGTATTTAAAATTAACCGAAAAAAAAATATATTTTCATGAATGTATTGTCCAATTATTGAAGATTTTAACAAACATTAATTCGGATTTTTGACAAGACGTAATTGTATTTGTTTTTTCTTTAGATGCAAGTGATGAAATTCTAAAGGTCCCGGGCAATCTAGACAAACTTGTATTCAAAAATTTTAATTTCGCTCGTACCGAAAAGAATGAAACTAGTAAGTGAAAATTAATTTTAAACAATACTGACTGAATTATTACTTGAAATATATTTTAATAATTGTATTAAATTACCTAGTTATGACCATACATAAATTTAATAATTCCTAAAGGGTTAATACATCCATACCGTACTGATATTATAAAATGTGAAAGTGGATATTATTTTTTGTATTTATGGCTCATTTATTATTACGTTTTATAATAATATGGAACTTAATGACTTCAAATTATTTATATACACCCGGGATAAGACTGACTAGTTATACATGTCAATTTCGAATTGTTCAAAGAAGGTTTAGGGAGTGAAAGATAGTTAACTCATTAATATTGAACATCAATTTCAACTAAACCTGGTGCGTATGTAAATTATGATTTAGAAATGATACGGAAACATGTAAAATTTCATTTGTTTAATTTGTTTGTATTTAATTTAAATATATTAATAATCTATCATACTCTTGGGTACGCAGGGTAAAATATTTATAGATCAAATCTGGTTTCATACAGATGGTTAACAGATTATGTAACACATAAGTGTTAAGGCACTGAAATATGTGCGTTTGTCTATCAGTCAATAATTACAGCCCATTCTGGTTGGATTCACTATGTTAGTTAACTGATTATGTCAAGTTCGTATCTGTGAATAAGGCTAGGTAAGAGGACTCACTTGATGCTATTTCGTTTCGTTTCATATAAAACTCGCAGTATTGTAACGTTAAAAGATTATTCTGGAACACACTACTAACAGGGGGGACCACGTGAATGTATAGCATTAGTCCCCCCCATATTTGATATTGAAATTAGATAATGGATTATATTAAAGTACACAATTATTTAATTGTTTTATATTTTATGATGTAATATTTTTATTTTACAGGTTATGAGTATATAAATGTTCAAAGTATGTTAACAGAAATAATACATTATATTTGTTTTAAATAATTATAAGTTATTTCATTTTTCTTCAGATAATTTGAGTGTGAATAATTTATTACTATAAACATAGTTGTCAAAAGTTTTTAAGAGGGAGGTACAAAACTCGCAAAATTAGAATGTCTATAAATTGCTCAAAAATTGTAACACGTAAAGAAACACAAATATAGGTTATCTATCACAATCTCAAGTCTCTACGAATATTTTTAACTGAATTATAAAAAAAATCAAAATTAAAAATAATAAAAACATTATTTTTGTAAATTTTCTTACGTTTTATACTGGGTTTTCACGATATTATGAAAACTGCTTGGAAAATCAAAAAATGATCTTCCTGAAGTACCATCTAATAAATATGACAATATTTTCTTTCGAAAAATATAATACACTTACATATTGAAGCAAGATTTCTGGTATACATTTTTGTCACAACAAAAAAAAAAAATCATTTTAAATACAATAGTTACATCCTTCACCACACTCAGAGTCTAAAATTTTAACTAAAGTAATCACTTCCAATTTTGATTCTTTGCTTAATTGATTGTTTCCACTTAGTTTCCCATAATTCTATCTCACCCTTAAGAGAATATAATTATTGACATTTATAATAGACATTTAGAATAGTTGCATTCTTGTTTCAATCAAAGTAATTCCAAGATCCGTAATCATCTTTATGGCATTTAGAACCAGTTACATTTGTACTTATTTGTGCTTAAAAATTATGGATAATTTGAATTAAAAAACAGAACATCACACTGCTTACGGGGAGGGTGGCGATCGTATCCCTCGCTCCCCTCTTTTTTACGTTGAAAAGCCCAAACTTGAAAATGTGTTACAATGAACATGTATAATAAAATAAATCACAAAAAGGTTATTGTGAGCCGCCCATCTCCTAAAAGTAATAAAAAAACTATCTAATTTTAAGATTGTATGAAAAGACATAAAGAAAATAGACTAAGAATAAATTTAATGAAACGGTCAAAAATAGAGATTGACAATAAAAAGTTTTTTTGACAAGTTCTTGACAAGTTTGCCTTGAAAATCATATCCACCCACAAAAAAATGAATAGCCTCAATGATCATACTAAGAAGCATTCCACATTATAACTGAACAATATAACATCGTAATATTTAATAAGCAACCATTTTGAGATTGCCATAACAAATTATGTTAAAGTCATAATAAATACATAATAAATAATAACAATAATCAATAAATAAACAATAATCAACATAATAAATCAAATTAAATTGTTATTATGCAGGGGTTATTTTAAACTATTATAATATTTTGATTTTTAGACAAATCCATCAAAGGATTTAAAAGTAAGTTGATTCATATTAAAATTGACATGAGTTGCGCTCACATTACTTACGAGTATGTTTGATTTTATTTAAAATAGTACAAGTTAAAATTATAAATTATTACATTGTATATTGTTTTTAGATTTTCGTGAGTTGTATAGAGATTATTTGAAAAGTTAGTTAATTACTATTTTTTTCATTTTTTTTTAATTAAGTGACCCAAAAATTCTGTCTCTCTCGGAAAAATACATTAATATATTAATTTATAAATTTATTGTATCGTTAAATATATTACAATCTACACATGAATCAAGATCGATAGGTAAACTTACCATTATAGTGAAAATAATAGACTTGTCTAACCCTGAGAGCTTATCCTTTCAATGGTGATCAAACGAGGGGCTAATATATCTTTCAAAACCTCGTTCCCATGTATGTGATGTTGGAATGAATGTTCCACATACATGATACCCATGTATGTGATGTGACATGTGATAAGTAACATGTATCACATGTATATCATACTTCAACCAAGCACCTCTAACAACCTTTTTTTAGACTTATTAGACGTTGTTTGAAAGTTGTTAAAATTTGTATTACGTATTAATCAACATTCTTTGAATTCTTTAGTAGTTGAATTTCGGAAACCCATTTTCGAGTGACAAGCATCCGAATTTGTATGTAAACTTTCAAACCTATATATGCGATACATTCGGCTGTATATCATATACAAACCTATACCAAACCAATACAAATCTTCATGTTTTTATACTTATAAAAGAAAATTTCAATATTTAAAAAAAATTAAAATTAGCCCCCCATGACAAAATCATTTGACAGCCACATTTTAACATCTTTCTAAGTAACGTGTACATTATTTCACGGATTCTGGTTCTACAAACATATAATCTTATAGCTAATATTTAAGTAAGAAATTCAAATAATAATTTTCTTATGACATTTTAGATATGCCCGAATATAGTAAGTATCATTATTGTTACATGATTAATTAATATACTTGATATGAGCCAATATTTGCATTTGGCATTGGCATTGGCATTTGTATAAACACAGTTCCTTCTGTGTGTGAATTGTATTGCTTTAGATTCTGGGTGGAGTGAAAAGAGCTTATAGTTTTATAAAGATATTTATTATTATTATTTTTTTTTTTTTTATCTATGAACAACTTCTTACTTCGATTTAGATAAAAAAAATATAATGACTATAAAAGAATGGTGTACTTATAGTAAGTAAATGGATACATCTTTAGTTAGTTATATTTTGTATTATATAATGCAATTTTCGAAAAGAGTACACGAGTTCCAGTGCCGTCCCGAAGGCAGAGCAAACGGGGCGCTTTCCTATGGCTTCGTGCCTTAAAGGGCCTCGCATTCGTGTCAACTTTAAAAAAAAAAGTGTGCCATACAAATTATGTTAAAAATTTATCGCTGTTTTGTTTAAAAATATAAAGTACTTGAACACAGTGAAAGTGAAAACGGCGTAACGGCTCAATTAAATTAACTCACAATATTTATTTAAAAGCAAGAATAGATTTTTATCGCGGCATGGCGTCACAGGGTCGGCGACATTCAATCTCTGTATCATAACCAATAGTTGCATAGAGAAATAAATTATTTTGTAACTATTCCTAACATAATAATTTTGATATTATGTCATTTAGTATTCGTACTCGATCCAGCCACAAAATAGACGTATAGTATCTGCTGTAGATCGTGGTAAATTTAAATTTTAAAGTATTTAATGAATTACTTTAACTTCATTATTTGTTCAATATTAAGCTGATTGGATAAATTTAAAATTTGCAAATAGCAAATATATTTTGCATCTACTAGCATATTTCAAGATGCCATTATATTTGATTTTGCTTATATTTTTTTGTTCTTAATTGTATACTTTAAAAAATTATATAGATAAGGTCGTTTAATTAGTTGAGTATTTATTTATTTATTTATTTACTACCATTAATGCCAATTGTAATATATAGTACACCAAGTACTTAAATAAATTCGAGTTTATATCTTTATGGTTGAACAAATTATACTATAGTTTAATAAATAAAAAAGACATAGTTTATATGAACTAATTGTTTTGAAAAATTGTTTTTTACCAAATAAATGCTTAAAATGGAAAATTGTTTGGAATAGCATAACAACCTTTAGTACATCCTTATTGATGTATTTTTTCAAAATATTATGAATTCATGGGCCTCGATCCCAATCTTGCCCTGAGACTTGCAAATCCTAGGGACGGCACTGATGAATTCAACATACCAAAATATACTGTTACTTATTTATGTCCGCATACATACTCACTTTATGTATTACAAAAGTCATATTTTTGTAAAGTATATTATATATACACAATTTATATTTTGTTTAACTTTCATTAGTTTGGTGGTTTTTATATGCCTATATAAACTAACACGTAAAATTGATGTATAATGTACATTGATAAATTTATTCACTAATTGTCGTAAAAATTGAATGAAACATCGATAAGTCCTTACACATGAGCCCTCAATTAAAAGTTATATTCTATAACATATTCGTTGAACAATATTATTTAAAAATCACCTTTCACGGTAACACGGCGTCTTGTCTATGCAATTTTAATACATAATTTTTACGATTCGTTTTCCTGTTTTTTAAGTCTTAATATTGCATGCAATCATACGTTTATTAAATGTTATATTCTTATTAAAAATACAAGAAATCAAAACATTTAATGGAAATGTATTATTATTTTCTTTCTTAATCATTCGGAGCAGAGCGAAGGATCAATTTGTTTTATAATGATGTGTGTGTTTTTTTTCTGTGTGTAAAAAAACTTTTCGAAAACAAAACTTGATCCGATATATACAGGATCATATTTTATCATGAACTAGCAATCATCTCAGAGAATTAAAATTACCTACCTAAATTTGTTTTTTTTTTTTTTTTTTTTTTTTTTTTAATTATTGTGGAACCAATTAGGCTTTATGTTAAACACATTTTTCATTTTTACCCCAAATCTATGTATTACTCTAATACCTTAGATAATTACTTACCTAATCTTGGAATATAAATAGGAACCCTTCTAGTTAGACACAAATTTAAATGGAAAAAATCGTTTAAACAATTTTAGTGTGCATATCACTAATATGATGGCTCCTTCAAAAATCATTTAATAGAACTTGAATAATACAATATACAGTATACAAAATAAAGAGTCACTTTATAAGAAACTCCGATGATCGAGTTAAAAAAATGAACTTAATCAATCAATCAAAGATAGTGATATTCTAAATAGGAAAGTTACTATTCTCGAAAATCAGGCAGATGTAATTTATGCTGATTTCGCAAAAGCGTTTGGTAGGGATAACCACTTTATTCTATCACAGAAACTTAGTCTTATTGGTATAAATAATCCATTATTATCATAATTTACATATTTTGTCACTAATAGAATTCAAATAGTGAAATACAAAATTATAATTTCTTCTCCTATAAATATAACCTCTGGTATCCCACAAGGATCATATCTCTCACCATTTTTTTTTTTAATATATTCATAAATTATTTAAATTTTTGTCTACGCTGTGCTACATTATTTGCATTTTATGATGATTGCAAGCTGATTGGTTTTATAATATCCTTTGATGATACCACAAAAAAGTATAAATAATATGATTAGTTGGTGCTCAACCAACAAAATGACCTTGACCATTTCTAAACTCAATTTTATTTCCTTCTACTGAATTAAAAAACCTATCATTTTTAAATACCGAATTTCTAATTGTAAACTACCAATTGTTTTGCATATTAAAGATCTAAGAAATATTTTTGAATCTAACTTAACTTTCAATACTCATATTTCTAGGATAATAAATAAAGCATCAAAAAAGTTAGGTTTTAAAAGACGCTACTGTGAAAATGTTACAAATATTATTACCTTAAAATTATTATACCTTTCACTAGTCCGATTTCTTATATAAATTACTTAATGATTTGATTGAATGTCCTGAATTATTATATATGATTAGTATTAAGGTTCCTAAAATTAATTTACAAAATGTTAATTTGTTTTTTTCAATCAATTTATAAATAAAAAATAGTCAATTAGGGTCATATGCGCCAATTTATCGTTTTATGAATATAGTTAATAGGTACAATATTGATTCTTTTGTTAATAGTTTTTGTAAATTTAAAAGTAATATGAATTTAACTCCTAACTGCGAATAATAAGATAAACATTTTTTATTGTAATTGGATCTTGTGTCAGTATGAATTAAATAAATAAATAAATAAATAAATAAATAAATAAATAATACTAATGGTTTCCCCTAACTATCACTTGCGATCCCTTTGTGGGTTGCGACCCCCAGGTTGAAAACCACTAATCTAATTAAATATGCTATCTCAAATTTAACAATACGAGTAAATTAGTCATAACTAATATTCATAAACTCCATTTTTTTTTTTTTTCATTTTAGTTTGCGTTGGTATGAATATAATTTAGTAATTTAGTACTGATATTTACATTCATAAGCTAAATGTGATACCTTTGAATATTGATATACAGTACGATCACGATTTAAGGTAACACTAATATCTTTGGTGGATGACCTTGTATTGAAATGAGGTTTTCGGGAGGTGATAGGGAGTACTTAAATACATATTTTCAGATAAATTTCAAATTTGTAACACTTTTAGTATGCGCATGCGCAATACAACTTATATTTTTTTAAATGGAAACACTATTTTTTTTTTCGACATATTCGGATAGATTATTATTTTTTTTTTAAATTTTTGTATTTAAAGTTTTTTTCTATTTATAATACTGACCAAGTTGGAGTAAGTCAAAATTTGGATTTCTGTATAATTCGTGTTTAATGAAATTTTCATTTATAACCACTGGAAATACTAAAATAATTGTGAAATAAATGTTCAATTTACTTTATCTGTTTACAAATAATAATTTAAAAATACTGTTTATCACTAGAATGAATATCTCGAATATGTGATAATTTTTGTTCAGTAAACTGCAATAATACGATTACAATTTTAACTATTTTTATAATGGAATTTTATTTTATTTTACAATAGCTCTAATAACGATAAGATAATCAGATAATAAGGCATTTAGTTTGATGAAAATTTTAATTTTAGTTTTATTCTGTAACTAGACCTGTTCTAAAGTGTGTGCGTTATCCGTGGATGTCTGGTTATTAAGTGCTCCTAAAAATTATAATTTTTTCATCAATTGGTGCAATCTATGGTGCAAATAAAACAATAACGATTCAGTCATAAAAATAAACCCTTCGTTCATAGTGGAATTTTTTTAAGGGAGTTGTCTAATATAGATATCTTAGAAATTTTCTATTTAGTGAGCTAATTTCAATGTATAAATAATGATTGGTGAACTTCTCCGAATATAATAGGCAGAAGCGCCAGGTTTTGAAAATGTCACGGGGGATTCACTATTTTATAAACACATGTACAGTTTTACTTAAATCTTACCTTATATTTCCTATTTTTATTTTTCTTAAATTGTTTGTTAAATAGTTACTAAAATGTAATTATTTGTTTTTTTTTTATGTTATACAATTTTAATAGTATTAGCATCATGAAAAATTACAAGAAAAAAATTAAAAAACGCCCGACATCAGACTCCAGTTAACAAATAACCTGGTTGATTACCAAAATCTACATTTTTTTCTCTGGTATCAATCTCTGATTATTTAAAAATCTCTGCTAACGTTTATCTTTTTCAATTAATTTGTTATAAATAAAATTAGTATTTTGAGGACATAAATGACAAACATTAATTTTTATTTTTTTATAAAATTAAAACTGTAGGGGGCTAAACTCCGTCTTATAAAGCTCATGGAAGGCTGCAGCTCCAGAGCTCTTGTATACACAGCACCTCTAATAATAGGTATTCTATTATATTCTGAAATATTCAAAACATAAAATTAATAGATGAATAATTCTATAATTTACCTAATGCAGTGAATACTACTCATAAATTATAAAAATATTCAGTGATAGATCGGTTGGTTGAAAGCCGGCTGATGAAATAAAAATTTTAAAATTAGATATAGTCAATAAATTTAATCATACTATAATATGTAATCTTACTGGTCAGAAAAAAAATACTATTGATTATATATCACAATTTTTTTTTTTTATGAAAGTTTGTAGTTCACATATTTTTACGAAACTTTAATAAAATAATGACAAATTTTTAATTATTATTTTGATAACAAAAATGTTGATTTTCACTTACATCATATTTTTGTTTAAAATGATCATTTACATTTGCAAGATTTAAACTAAATTTGCTTTATTACATCTAAAACATTGACCTAGTTGTTGGCAATATCGGTGGGTTATCTGAAAATTGAAATATTGTAGAGTGGTTTAAAGTTGTTATATGGATATGTTTTTTATTAAATATGTAGTGTTAATATTATACATTTTTTTATCATGTTTCCGACATTAAAAATCTGTTAAATTTTTTATTGTAACAAAACTAAAAACATACTTTAACATTTCTAATAAATGTGTAGCGTGTAAAATGTACATTAATAATTACAATGTATCTAATACCTATACAGTAGAAATGGAGTTCGCTGGATTTCCTATAAGGAAGCCAACAAGTAAATTATATCACAAAATCGTATTTATTTTAAAGGACCCAGAGCCAATTTTTTAAACTTTATTCAATTTTGAAAAAGTTAAAAATTATTTTTAATGTTTAAATTACCATTTTAAGGGTAGTATTTTCACACTGATCTACTACCCGATACTAATTTATAGGGAGGGGTGGTAACTTTTTACTGACAAAAATAACTTTATAGAAATAGTGATAATTCATTGTCAGTGTAATATTTTCATAAACCCCTTTTTTTTTTTTTTTTGTTAAACAAATTATTATACAACAGTATTCTACAGGCCACATTAAACTCCGATTTCAAATAATGAGGGGAAAAAAATGGTTAAAAAAAGCTTAAAATTTACTTTTTTAAAAGACTCATTATAAATGTTGAGAATAAAATATTGAAACATGTAATTTAATGCGGTTTTTAGAATGTTTTAATCTAATAATTTCAAAAAAAAATTTGTAGTTGATTCTACTGAATACTACCACTATTTCTGTAAAGTTTATTTTTGTGAACAAGACATTGGCCCTGGGTGCCTTAACGTAAATGGTTTACTTAGCGTTTGCAGAACTATATACCTAATTTATATAGATTTTTTATCTGAATATAATAATATTATAATAAATGCATCTACCCCTCACATCCATTTACATATGTAATAACATAATGTATACTATTTTACTGTTGGTTTTATTATTATTATAGATTTAAAGATGTGCTATAGGTTAAATATATCTTTACCTTAATATTATGAAAATTAAATCTATACAATTATTTTATATTATGTTGTTTGCCGTTTAGAATTCTTTGGGATAAAAAAAGGGAAAAGCAATTCCACCCTTCTTAAGGAAATGAATAAAGGTATGTAGATTTCTAAGTGTATATAAATATATTGATATTATATCTCTGGAAACTGGAAAAAAGGACCTAAGCCAATTTTTGCTATTTTGTATTTCATATAGTTTTGTCATAAAAAGGTTACAAGGAAAAAAAAATCAGAAAAAGTAACTTTTTAGTGAACATAGACGCTTTGCATGTTATATTTTAATGTGATTGTTATTAATTTATCATGCGTTTCAAACAAAATTCAATTCTGTTAACTATATTTCAAAATTCAAAATTTAACTTAATTCAAACTATTCTCTAAAAAAAAAATATTGTCAAGAAAAATTGTGTACATTTATGGTGATTAGTTTATCACGAAACATAGATTAACTAGGAAGATAAAATAGATTGTGAGCTATGGTGAGATTTATCAGTGTTTATGAAAGTACATTTACTGTGTTTATACAGACATAATAATATTTATAGATGATTAGTATCATTAGAAAACAACTACTTGTATAATTAATGACTATTATAGAGTACTCTTAACCTAACCTAAACTTTTTGCATTTTATAATGTTTTTCTAACACTTAATCAATACCTTTTCTTTAAGTATATTTACTCAATCCAATTTAACCAAACCCAACCCGTCATTTATGTTTATACGATAACAGTAACCTAATAAAGGTGTTTGCAATTTCATTTTTGTCACCAATCGCCTTGCAAATAATTATACTAGAAAATCACTGAAATCAATGTAATGTTCAGGACGTTTTGTTCTTAACAATTGACAGTTACTTCGTTTAATCCATACCATATTGCAACTGTTATAGTATTATAATATTTAAGATTATGACCTCTGAGTATGAAATATTTTACTTGAATTATCACACTGATTGAAATATTGAAACATTTATTACGTATACCTCTCATATATTAAGTGTACACATTTGTCAATACCTATACTTCTTTATATTTTACTCCTTATATTTTAAGAAACAATCTTCTCGTGAACTTCAAGCCGATCACTAAGAGATAAGTGACAATTATTATATTATTGTGATGGGAAATTAATTAAAGAAAACATACGTAGGGATTTAATAAGGTTTTTACGGTAGGTAATAGTCCACCATTAGCCTAACCTGATGGTTGGTATGATACATATTTACATAGACATAACTTACATTCAGTCACTATTAATATGATACAATAAAAAACCATTTTTACACACACTATAACAATTGTACAACATATTACGTCAGGAGTCTATTCAGTATCATACCCGATTCATTGCGCATTGTGTTAAGGCTGCTGTCGACCAGCATTTCGGTAGATGCACGTGTTGCACATCTTATTTACAAATTATATTTTGTCTTACACCCAACATATTATTATATTATACTTAATTCAGTCAAATAAGACTAAAAAAGGGGCAATTTTGTAATCTAAATCATAAAAAGCTACGAGCTGGATCGTTCAATATCTTAAGTAGTTATCTACCGTAGTATCTATTAGTTTTCAATTTATGATTATTTGTTTCTTTTTCAAAATGAAATATTTCAAAAAAAAAAATCGTATGAACTTTAAGAACATTAATTATATTATTTACAATATATTTTTCTAATTTACAGAAACATTAATGATAAACAATTATACCGGTAAGCCAAATTGAGCCAATTATCATACTGTTTTTGCACATACTTATTATTGACCAAAATGTATATTTCAAATACACGTAAATAGAACATAATATTATTTATAATACAACTATTCTTAATACTGATACTATTTTAAATAATACTAATGATAATAAAATAGTCAATCAAACAGAATGTGTCTACAAAAACTTTGTACTTTTATTTTTTACTCATTTATTGAAAAATAAACTTCTCCATTAATTAAGTTGTATAAATATAGTTTTATGCTTAAAAGTGTCCGAAAAAGTATAATAGGGTTACTTTATTACGTATATGATAACACGATTAAACGTATGTATAAAATATCGTGTTATGTATGATTAATATGTAAGAGATAAGATAACCATTCAGAATAGTAACGTGAATGATGATACAAATGAGAATTAGATAATCGTGATTAGAATGATAATACGGTGAGAGGAGACGCTAGCCGTGGTATAAATATAACACCAGTTTGGGCGACCGTATCATAGGTTTAGCACCTGAGTTAGAACTGTCCTTTTCAATCTACTAACAATGGCTGAGCGTTATATAAAATGTCTATCATATATTGTGAAATGTATATTTCATTTAGGTAGTATTAAATTATAATTGATGCATTTAGCGGATACAATTATTCAGCTATTTATGTGTTAATTCATAGGTTTAATTAGATATGACTCAAATAATATTATCAAAATAATTTGAATAATATAATTTCATTAAATAAAGGATTTATTTAGTTAAAAAGGGTTATATTTGTTAGATATGTTTGATATAATTTTTTTTTTTTTTTAAATTTAAATACTAATAGTATTACCTACCGTGTACTAATGAATCAGCAGACCTCGCGAGTATCCACTGGCGCTATAAAAGGCGATCGGAATAAATTAAGAACATGTAAAAAATACCCAAATTTTATACTGTTTTCTGTATTATATTCATATATCTCTGATATTACAAATAATATAGTATTATCCGTTTGTTATATTATATCCCATTTTTTTTATTTCTAGGTTGCGTTTACATTTTTGTATTTAAATACTACCACGGCATAATAGATCGTAAGTCATTTTTCATACATTACGTATTAAATAAATCTGAGACACTAAAAAAACAAGTTTAGACCATATGTAATTAAATAACAAATGGAAAATTAATATGTCAATTTGTGGTATAATGCAAATATTAGCGCTGCAGAAATCCATAAATCTACAGCATTGTGATAAATTTACCGTAGGTATGTACACTTTACTCATGTTATAGGTACAGGTATCTATAACATGGTTAATAATACAAAAAAGACTGAAATGGAATAAAAATTGTTAATGATTAATCTATCTTTTAGTTCAATTCCGTATAAAAAAAAATTGAATTTTATTTTTTGTATTCGGTTTACTTTTATATGATGTATGTTGTTTTTCTATCTGTGAATAATTTTTCTACCAAAAACCTTATTCTGATTATCGAGTGAAGAATCTTTTCTAAAAAAAATTTTGTCTATTTGATGCTTCGTGTAAGTCATTTTTTAATTTTTCTTGTGTTGTTTTAGTAATTAGTAAATCATGAAAATTAACGTAATAGCGGTTTCTATTACTTTGTTTTATTTTTTTGTTGTAGTTAGGCTAGAAATAATTATAGATAGTTGATATTTACCAAATAATTATATTAGTAATTTGTAAGTGAGGTACAATTGTCTCAACTTTCTATACATTTTTAAGCTGCTTATAGCTATTTGAAATCATAGTTTTTCTTTGTTTTTATTTGGATTTATGTAGATAAAATTCTTTATACATTTTTAATTAATACTATTAGTTTATACAACTTATAGTAGAGCTCGGAAATTTAATACTAAAAACTACAAAAAAGCGCTTAAACCCATCAAAAAAGCAATTTAAAATTTAAAAAAATGGAAGATGGGTTCTTCAACAAAAATTGTTTTGAATTAAATTCTAAGTATTATAAAAAAAAAATAACTGTGAATCATTTTTTTTAGTGTTAAAATATATTATTTTATAAGTTCAAGCAAATAGAGAAAAAACCTTAAAATTCGTTTTTGCTTTTATAAATTTTGAAATGTTTTTTTGACGTTTTTTAGGGATTTTTTCGTAGATTTTAAATGCTATCAGTCCCTAGTCCTATTTATAAGTTATAATTTATAAATGTCCTATGTTTCAGTGGATTGGAGACAACGTGTACCGTATAAAAAGTACAATTTAGGGACAGATCATATAATTAAATTATTACATTTTTATTTCCAACATTTTTAGGAGGTAATTTAAATAATTTAAAGTAAATTAACGTATTATTGTCTAGTTTAAAGGTCTCAACCTAAATTTACACAGTCTCCAATCCTTTTAATCCTCCTAATCCTATACCTGCTATACCTATTAGATGCATGAGTACATAATATAGTCTTGATAAATAATAATATTAATGGTACCTTACTAAACCTACATTATTCGTAAAATATAGTTGATTATTAACAACTAGATATAAGAATAAGAGAAGAGAATGTAAAAAATAACATAAATATATTTCAATTATTTTTTAGACGATATTGATGATACAAGAAAGTGGTGTAAAATGAATTGTACGTAACTACTGTACGGTTTTTGATTTCTTCTACTCGAAATTAACGTGAAATTTATTTTATTTTATCGAAATTATTTTCTATAATTATAGTATAATATTATTGTTACTAATAGTATTGTTTAATAAATGAATAAATGAATAAATACTCAAAGTTAAGTTTTATATTCAAACATATTAATTTATTATTAAACTACTGGCATTTTTATTTGAAATGTCTTTATGGAGGGATCCTAAAGAAAAGTAAATAGCGACCAGTAAAATGGAATTTGATTATAGACGGTTTTTCAGCTTGATATGAAAAAAATTATTATAATAACATAAATAATATGATATGAACAATTTGGGTTATCTGTCTACATTTACTTATTGAAATGTATATTTATTACATCTAAATTATGGTACCTAGGTATAATCTTAGATCATAGCTATTTGACCTCAAACAGCACCCACTACTCACTCTAAAAGACGGACAAGAGTACCTAGATGCTCTAGACTAGGGGTCACCAACTGGCAGACTGTGGAAACTATTTTACGGACTCTTAAACACGGAGTACTTCTTTTACATTTGTATAATATAAATCTAGAAATATGTCATATCAAATTTACATAATGACCAAAAAAAAAAATTAAAATAATGGAAATTAATACGTAGTTTTATAATCAAAGATCGGGAAAAAACAATGGGGTGATGTCAATAATAAATCCGATAAAAAATAATAAGATACAAATGATTGGATGTAATGAGTTTCGGAGCATAGAATTAGTATTACATTTACTTTCTCGATGATGAACTTTGTACAAAATAATGATTTAATAAAAATAAATTGCACTAATTTCATTCAATCATTACGCAACTTGCTAAAAATAAAAAATGTAATTTTTCACATTAAATCTGACTTCGTCATACAATTTTCTAAACTTGTACTTAAAATATTATTTCAAAACAAATAACATTTAGTAAATAGGATAAATATAAATACAAATTTAAAAAAATGTTAATTGTTTATATGTGAAAAAATTACATTAAAAATATTATGGATCATGGACAGTTTAGTGGATTTCAAAATGAACCCCAGAGAAAATAGTCGCCAGTCAGAGAGCTCCGTCTAGACCAGTGGTTACCAAATTTTTTTTAACAGAGCCATAAAAAATTATTATTATTCTTGGCGGGCTAAAAATTATTTAAACTTTTACTAGTAAGTTAATAGCGAATATAATATTTTATTGTAAATACATCTTAATATGGGTATAGAAATGTATTTAATAAATTATTTATTAAGCATTTATTGTTTTAAATGAGAAAAAAATATGAAGTATAAACATATCTTATTTTAATGTCAGTGTTAATTTTGAAATTTAGAGTTATTTTATTTTTTCAATTTTGATTTAATACTTTGGTAGGTCGATTAATAAATAATCGTGGGCCGGATTCGGTCACCATTACTCTAGATAATGAAATGATTAACATGCAGTTATAGGACGGCGGTCATAGATTGTTCGTTAGAGAGCAGCACGTGTTACACAATCCCATTGAAACAGCTATATTTTCATAACAGTAAAAATATTAAAACATTTAAAAAAGCGTGGAAACTGACTTATTTGACTCAATAGAAGCTATACATCATCTGAATCAGCTATCTTCCACCAATCATAAGCGTATTTGGATAACTATTACGTTTGAATAGATAGAATTATAGTTACGGGATGCAGAAAATGGTCTGAATAACGCGCTGAACAAAAAAACAAAACAAACCAAAAATCGAAACTATAAATATTGAATAGGAAGAGGGCGACATCTTTACAAACCCCTTTTAATATTTGAAGTATCACGTTTTCTAAATATAATACCAACAATTTAAATTTGCTCTACCGTAAGAACAATACCCTATTTTTAGAATTATAATTAAAAACAATAAGCCAACGAAGTACCTAAGTATATTGCAAATTATGTAAACAAAAAATATTTCATTATTACTTTAGAATTATTAGAAATAAAACACCGACAAATTAATTAGGTAGCTTATGTATGTCGATTATCAAATGATAAAAAAAAATATCGATGTAAAAAACAAGTCAAATATTCAGAATACTCAGGTGAATACCGGAATTCGCAACACTATTAAGGCTACACCGATATAAGAAAAAAAAATATTTTACATGTTATGTATTTTGTTTGTTCAGTTGTTAATAAAACGAATGAATAGAACATAAGAAAAAAAAAATGAAAAATGATGATAAAAGTATAGTAGGTAATAGTAAATTTGTAATTATTAATTCGTATGCATTAGTGTTAGTAAGTGATATTTTGTGTTCTTTTTTGGTATTTAACATGACATCTATGAAACTTTTTTTGACAATGAATTGTTTGATTATGTTTGTCTTTTTCGAAGAAACATATAATTATGATATGAATAATATAACTCGTAAGTTTCATATTATACTTATATACTTAAAATAACTATATAACATTTCGTTAAATGTGTACCTATGTCAAAAAATATAAATATAGACAATGATTAATCTTAATAAACAATAATTTCAATGTTGTTTATAGTACGGATGACTTGTAAAGGTAGGTTAATGTTTGAATAATATTAATAATTATTATATTCAATCACGAGCGTCCTTGGATAACTTTGGCAAATATTTTGTTTTTAATATTATACTATCTTTATTTTTGTCTTTTATAAGTTTAGACTTAGGTATATACATACATTAACATTTATCGACTAAATAATTAAATAATACTTTCATTATAGTTTTCGTTAAAACTATCTTCATTGGAAATAACATTTTTAAAATAATTGAACTTACAAGAATTTTTCATTGAATTTTTTATAGTTCTCGATTATTTTACTAAACTTCTAATTTGATTATTTATTAAATAATTTTGATTTTCACTAATTTTCTCAGCAGATAGTATACATTCTGAATTAATGCGTAAGTAATTTGAAACTTATTTTATTTTCAATAATTATTCCAGCTCTTATTTCTATTCTTACAAACTTCTTCGACGATTACTAACCATTGTATGTTTATATATTAAGCCTGGATGAAGGGCGATACTTTAACGGGATTTCGGAATTATATTAAACTTCTGGGTAAGTAATAAAATTCATAAACTATATACCTTATATCAGTGGTTCCTAACCTATAGTCTACAAGGCAATACCTGCAAAATTGAATAAAGTATTTTACGTATATCATATCACTCATTTACGTATTTTAAATTCCGTAATTTGGCCTTGCCTGAATGAATAAAGGATAGTTGCGTGCACATTATTAGATTAGTATGCTGATAAACTTTTTTTTTTGCTTATCAGCCCACCTAAATCATGGTAGTCAACAACCCATTGAAAGTTCTCTAAGTGATCCATAGTGTCAAAAGGTTGGGAAACACTACCTTATATATTAATTCTATATTAATTCTATATTAATATAGCACAAATCTATTGTAATAGGAGGCAAGTTTGAATTTTAGTTTTTTTTTCAGAATATCAACAGTTTATATTTAGTCTTGTTACTAATAAGGGTTAGGTTAAGTTTTTAGTCTGTGTTTATGTTTTTATTTGAATGATTTAAAACTTTTCAAATATATTCAATTACACATTCTTTGAAACTATTCATTTCTAAAAACATGATATTTTGAAAGCAAACTTATTTTGAAATAATTTGTCCTGATTTTAGGGATTTTTATATTTGCATGTTTTCAGTGTAGTTATTTTTTTTTTTTGGTAGAGTTTAAGTGGATATGATTGTTTGAAAAAACAGAAATTTGATTTTTCAAAGGATTTTCCTAATACTGGATAATTTATTTAAGTAGGTATAATCATTATCTCGGAAATTATTAACTTTTTCCGTATTTAATTTTCTAGAACATTTAAGAAACAAGCTGCTCTACAATTTTATACTTAGATTATTTTTTGTCACGCTTATTTTAGGGTAAAATCACTACCTACTTTTGATTTTAAAATCGCAACATACATTAAAAAGTCTATAAATAGATGGAATATTATATATTTAAATGTTGGCATTATAGATTTCCGTCAATCCGTTGACGAGATATTCCATTTTTAAGTTTGGGTTGGGTGAGAGTAGTGGTGCATTGTTAACAAGTCACGAGTCAAACTGTCATACGCCCATATTAATGATACTCCACTAGTTTGTCATTTGAAAATCAAAAGAAGGTAGTGATTGTACCCCCCAATATAAGGGTGAAAAAAGCAATATAAATATAAAATTGTAGAGTAATTTGTTTCTTAAATGTTCTAGCAAAAAAATTCTGGAAAAAGTTAATACTTTCCAAGATAATGAGTGTACCCACTTAAATGGATCATCTAGTAGTTGAAAAAAGCCTGAAAAAAATTATTGAAAAACGGCAAATATTTACATGTCGCGTAATTATCTGTAAAAAAACACTTTTATACCTATAGATACCTATTTATATACCTATAGATTTGGTAACCAGAGCTATATTTTACAACCATATTGGTAACAAGAATTCTCTTCCATTCTAAATGAATGAATACTAAGATGTCTAAATACAATCTCAGATTATAAGGAGGAAGTAAGAATTATAAGTAGTAATTATCCTACACTATAATTAGGTATCTAAAATTGATTTAATAATTATTATTTCTCATTTGCTATATGATTATAATAAATTATTTTGGAGAAATAACCTGATATTGTTTTGTCTATTTTAGATCCAACAACTTTATATCATAATATACAATGTAAGATAATTTTAATAACAATCAAAATTTGATTCGTGTAACTATATTTTTAAAAAAAATAAATAATAATCTATAACTTAAAATTAATATATAATACCCCTTGTATCAAAAGATTAAATTTTTTTCAAGTTAATCTTGTTTCACACTAGAAAAAATTAATGAAAAATTATAGAATGATATTATATTTAGAAAAAAAAAAGGAAATTTTAACTTAAAATTTTTTTCACTTCTTATTGGATGTTTTTGAGAAAATTAAAATATTTAACACATCTAATTCTCAACATAAATATTTAATTCTAAGCGAAGCGAGAAATGTATTGAGTTTATAATGATGTTTATATTTAAATTTTTTTTTTCTATGAACAACTTGTCTACTAAAAATTGTACTCC